AGTTTCAAGAGAAATATCCATGTTTACCATGATTCACCAACCCAACTCTTGAAATTTCCTCTGTGATCAAACATAATGCATAAAGGGAAACCTTATTTTATATAGAAGGTATTGCTGGCGAGTATCAGCAGCCGATCAGTATCTCCTGAATTAGAATTAAATCTAACAATTAACAGTAAATAATAACATCAGAATAACTGGTTATCGAAAACTACATTCATATATGATTTGAACCAATAAGGAAACGCAACAACATGACTGCATAGGTTAGGTGGATGTAAATGACTTTAAATTTGCTTAGATTTCACTGGTAAAGTACTTGTCTAAGCACTCGGAACTTGTTAAGTTATTTAATTTCAAATCACTGATAACCAACCTAATGAGTTAACGCTAATTCACTTTTCACGAACATTTAGTCTATATTAGTATAGGGGTTGTGGAGATTATTACGTTTTTGATTGAGATCATGAATCGATTGATATTAGACCACCGTTGGAAGCCTGAAAGCACTGGACGGCCGTTTCGTTCTAGTATGGGACTCGTCAACAGTGCGCGTCCACGATCCCGCTCTCGGGATTCAAACCCGGGGCCTTCAGTCTCACGCGTGAACGCTAAACCTACTGGACCACTGAGTTGGCATCCAATGGTGTTATTGTCTAACCTCAACCAATTCACGAAATGGCACGACCATCTTCCATTGTACTGAGGTAGATACCTGTCTCTATCTGACACGGATTAGCTCTATACCTATTTACTTAAATTTTGGTTAAGATAAGAAAAAGAACAATAATATTATGAGGTTTGTATTGGTACGAAACAAATAAAAAATAGTTGAATATATGAGTCGGTCTATACTAGACCACCACTGAAAATCTGGAAGCACTGGAAGGCCGTTTCGTCCAGGTTAACAATAATGGTCTAGTATACATCGACTCATGAATCCAACTATTAAAAATTACTACACTCCCCACAAACCCCTATTCTAAAAATAAAACATAATCTGAATTATAGTTGCTCTATTGCGTTGGTATTAGTTTACGATCGCTAAATGGAGTCAAAGCAATAAAATTTGTAATTTTATTTGACTTAGTTACAGAATGATTCTATTTGATCTTTCACAAGTTGCAATATCTAACTATATATAAAAATAAGCAAAGATGGATAGTAGCTAGCAGTGGAATCCAGGACGCTTGTTTTGTCCTATTCGGGACTCGTCAGTTGGATGTACCGGCATCTCAGGATTGAGATTCGTTACGGGACTCGAACCCAGTACCTCAACTCAGCTTCTGAATCCTGATAGCCACTTTCTTGTACAATGGGGTGATGTTTAAATTCACTCGGCGTTGTTTACTTAAATCTTCCACTGCTATTCACTATCCATCTTTGCTTATAATGCTTGTGAATTAAGACATTGTCGAGGCAATACGCACAGTATGCACATATGTTAATACGAGACTGATCAATTGCTGTCCTAAAATATCAGTGGGAAGATTCAAGTAAAACAATACCAAGTGTATGTGTAGAAATATTTGATTGATTATTATAAATTCATCATACTACACAACAGGTGAAACAATTTCCACTACATTTTTATCTTTGTGTACTGTCGAACTTATGAATTAAGTAGTGAAAACCAACTGAGTAGAAATATACATATTTCATTTCAGTCCAGGCTTGCATACCACAGACATCTTAATGCAAAATCATCGATCATATTCCTATGTTTCCTTTAAATACACCTGAAATGTCTAATAAAGTGATTTTATAACTGTTTATCATACTGTAGTGAACGAGAACACAATTGAGGACAATCGAATGTATTTGAACACAAAATTACAGAATTTCTTAGTAAAATCTGAGAACCATACAGTAAATACTTTATTTGCAAAATGTCAATCAATCGTCTTTCCTTTCCGCATCAATCATTCTCTGCTCTCATTCTGTTTTCTTCGATCTTCTTAACATACTGCCACTACACACGCCACTTTAGACTGATGATAAATACTACTTATATCTATCGACAACAGTAGCACACACCAAAATACTTGCAATTTAAATTATGATCAGTTTTGATTTTCACTCCTTCTTTGTTTCCATAAGTTACTACTTCTATGATGATTTTAAGGTTAATAGATTTATTCCAATTCCTTTATTGTCAATGATTCGCTGGTGATAATTTAAGTTCGAGGACGTAGTAATCTGCGATAACTAAACAATGTTTTCATCCTTTTACACTACTATCCAATTATATGAAAATCTTGAATAAAGAAAAAGTTTGAAGATTAAGAAATCGTTCCATATATGTGTATGTTACAGTCAAATTTAAAAGTAGAAACTAAATATGCACACATCTCTTGTATACATTCAGTGCTAAAACGTTGTCAACACATATATTTATTAATTTAATAGTTGAATTCATGAGTTAAACAGTTAAACATAGACAACTATGGAAAACCTGGAAGCACTAGATGGCCGTTTCGCCCTAGTATGGGACTCCTTGGCAGTGCTCATCCACAATACCGCCCTTTCAATATTCTGATCCAGGAACTATCAGTTTCATGCGCGAACTCTCAACCTCTAGACCACTGAGGTGACCGGCATCCAGTGGTGTTAATGTCTAATTTCAACCAATCCATATACATAATATTCATAAAATCTAATCCACTGATAGTGTATGTAAACTGAATAATGATTTTATTCATTGTATACTATTCTCGTAGCAATTAATTAATGAATACAGCAAAGTCATATGTAGTATTCCGTATACTTAACATTCATAATTATTATCATTTCTAAATCTTTTTCCTTGTTATTGATAGCTTTAAACTAAAAACATATTTGGTGTTATTATAAACTTAGACAATTAATTACAGACTATGAATTAATTCTTTATTCATTTATCTTTGATGTTTAAAATTAATGAAAATAGGATTATGTCATGGCGGATATTTAATGAAGATTAATGAGTTTACAAAATTGATAACTGTATTATAAAATAAATTAATAACTGTTTTCTTTCCTTTTCTTAGTTTTTTGTATTATTTCAACTCAAATAACTATTATAAGATAATTATTAGTTATTTCGTCCTATTGTGGGAGTCGTCAACAGAGAGCATCCACAATCCCGCTCACGGGATTTAAACCCAGGGCCGTCCAGTGCATCCAGGTTTTCAATGGTAGTTTAACATCAATCGACTCATGATTTCAATCAAAAACTTAATAATCTCCACAACCCCATACTGATAATTACCATGTGCTCGCTAGGGACTAGCCTCGTGACGGAATTCTCGGACTTCTGATGAGAAGCCATGACCAGTAGAGCTAATCTATGTCAGATAGAGACAGGTATCTACTTCAGTAGGATGGAAGATAATTACGCAATTAAGTGCATTAGTTGTGGTTAGATCAGTGATCTAGAGGTTAAACGTTCGCGCACGAGATCGACAGTTCCTGGGTTCGAATCCTGAATGTGGGACCGTGAATGGATAGTGCTGAGTAGTCTCATACTAGTGCAAAACGGCCATCCAATTCTTCGAGGTTTTCCATAGTCATCTAACATCAATCAATTCATGATCTTAATCAAAAAAATTTATGAGATAATCATGAAAGATCAAGTAATAACTTTAAATAATCGTTTCTTCATAAATTCTCAATAATTGTTTGATATCAGAAGGGGTTTTATGGAGATTGTAGTAATTTCAAGAGTTGAGATCATGAGTCAACCAGAGCTAAACCATCATGGGAAACAAGAAAGCACTAGATGGCCGTTTCGCCCCAGTATGGGACTCCTCGGCAGTATTCATCCACGATACCGCCCTTTCAAGATTCTGACCCAGGAGCTATCAGTCTCTCATGCGAACTCTTATCCTCTAGACCACAGAGGTGACCGGTATCCAACAGTGTTGATGTCTAACTTCAACTGATCCATGAAACGGAAAGACACATGCACCACTGTCATCAGTGAGTTTCTATCTCACAACTGATCCGGTTGAGCTCCACTGGTCACTACTTCTCACGAGAACTCTGATAACATATAATCTAAACAACATTGTCTTCACGTAAATCCTCTCATCTGCATAACAAAAATATTTACTCTCCGTAAATGTACTAAGTAATTTTGATTTGAAAAAATAAGTTCATGATAACAATAAGCAAACAAACGAATAAAAAAAGACAAAACAGGAAATGTTATTGAAATATTAAATTACTGTAAAGACTTGAAAATAATTACAATTAGAATATTTCAAACATTTGAGATTGATGACAGTTACCGATGTGATTATCTTTCTGAAAAGACAGAAGAGTCAATGATCTTGTTAGTAACAGTAGTAGCTGACTATCTGGACTCAGAAGCTAAGTGGATATCGACTTAGTGATTGAAGTGAACGGTCAGGCAGTCAGTCAGTGACAACGTAGAACTTCGTACGTACGTACATCAGTTCGAGTTGTCACACAACATTAGCACAGAGATGCAGTGGTCGATTCAAATTCCGTAGTGCCAGATGTAATAAATTATAAGCTGTAATCAGAAAATTAGGCTTTGAAGATATTATTCAAGGAGTATAATCCAATGAAATAAATTTGGGAAGAGAAAAAAAAGACAAGGAGGAATAAGGAGATCAAAATTTGGGAGAACACAAAGAGTGGATGCACCTGCGCCATTGCAAACGATTTTGAGACATGTCATTCAGGGTCTCTAACCATCGGTTGCTATCAACTAGCGGTCCCCAACCAGGTAGTCTACACCTATCAACATGACTCAGTCCACTTGTCAGTGACTTCATGGATTTGAGCCATGTTTTGGTCTGGCCGCCCCTAGCTTTCGTCCAACCTACTCCTATACAACAAAACATCGCACGTCGAGGCAGTCGGTCGTTGGGCATACATAACACGTATCCCAGCCATCTCAACTGATGAAGTTTCACTACTTCATCAATTGATTTGCCATCCTTACCCAGTACCCGTCTCCTAACAACTCTGTTACTTACTCGATGGTCCCTATGACATATAAACCAATTGGGACTTCAAATGGTTCCATGGATGTGCCAACGTCTGTGGAAGTGAATTCAACTGCTAAAGTATTGGTGTATGGAACTAGGGGTGGTACGATTACTTTCGTAGAATTGTCTCCTATGCGTGTGAGTTCTCTTGTAAATTTCTATTGTTCTAACATGGAACAGATTCTCTCATTTTTTCTGATTCCAATAAGAGGCTTAACGATCAGTCCGTTTTTGTTATTATTAGGTTCCTAATTGAAAAGTCTCTTTGTTACTTTATTTCAGGAACTGTGGTCATTAACTGGACACCGTTCAAGCGTTCCAAGTTTATGTTTCCTTGACGGATTCCCCAGTAAACCTGAAAATATAAAATCTCCTGAAAAGTTCATTTCAGAACTTCGGTTAATGAGTGCCTCAGAAGATGGTGATCGTCTATATCTGGGATGCGTCTACCGTGATTCACAATGTTGAATCTAAAGTGCATGACAAAACAGTGATTTCACACTTGGCGTCGTTATTGTGATATCATCGTCGATGTGTAACTACTGCTGCATGGCATCCTAGACGTCGACTGGTTGCTACCGGTGATTTAGACTGTATGGTTTACTTATGGGATGTTTCAGAAATTGATGTTAAATCCAGTGATCTATCGACAAGTGTCTGTTCTGTAAGGCTTCATCCAGTTAAGTCAATAAATGTATCCAGTTATCCGATTATTTCAATTGCATTCCGATTGCCATCTGTTTTAATCAATGAACAAGAAGACCTAATACATGATGATTTGGCTATTGGGTGTTGGGATGGTACAATACATTTCTACAATTTATCTTCCTTATCTATTGTGAGGGTAAGTTAACAAATCTTACATTGTGTTGTTGTTTGCAGAGTGGTGGCTCAGTGATGAAGGCGTTCGACTTTTAGCCACTAATTCTGGTGTCCACCGCATGCTCCACTTTGATTTGACCAATCGAGTATTTTATCTACTCCTAATATGCAGAGTGTGTAATTCGTTGACAGTGGTAGATTTCTATATCAGTTATTCATATTTTTGTCTCTTGATTTTGTTAATAGTCGCTATCTGCATCAACGTCACTCTGTTCACTCGCCTACTCACCAAATGGAGGGAATATATTAGCAACGTTTGATAAAGATGGTGTATTAATGCTGTGGAACGATAACATACTTTGGTATCAAGGTGGTTTAATACAAGAATACTCTTGTTTTACAATTGAATATTTCCCATATGATCAAATTGATGAATTAATTCCAAACCAATATGGGAAGATATGCTTTTCGAAACCAAATGGTCAGTACATTTTCCAGTCAGGTGGTGGCCAATTTTTGAATAATTACATTAATATATGGGATACTGGACTATGGGGAACCTTTGGTAAGTGTTGACTTTAGTTTTCTGTACCTTGGAATAGCAATACTTTTACCTCTTTTAAAAATAAATAAATGAATTTGTCAAGCTTGAATATTTATTTCATTCCGCACATAATTTACTGCTATTTGGTGTGTAATAATTATCTGAGCTGTGGTTGGTTGATTGGCGAGCGAAGACAGAAATATCCGGTTATGGGAATGTATATCTTGCTCTAATTTCACTGTTTCCTAAATATGCTGAGGAGTCCCATACTAGAGCGAAACAGCCGTCCAGTGCTTCCAGATTTTCCATGGCGGTCTAGCTTCAATTGACTCGTGAATTCGACTAAAAAATATAATAAACTGTTGTCTATCTAATAGTAGATCGGAAATTGTGACCATCATATGATATAGTATAGTGTATTATTTCGTGGTTCTACTAACATGTATCCAGTGTATACATAAGTATTATCTATTATGAAGTTTGTGAATTAGGAAATCAGTATTTTCAACGTGCTATTAGTGGAATCTGGCCAGGTCACATTGAATTCATTCAGTCAACATGTTAAATATGTTTAGTAAATATTGATTCGACAGTATGATTCTGATTATGTAATCCAGTTAATCAATGAAGACCAATCAGTATGCAGAATTGAAAATGATAAAAATCCTACAATTGTTTGTTCATGTTTGTGTATAATCGATCTGCCATTTGAATGCTTGATAATGACTTCGAAGGTGCTTCTTAGATCCACAGAATATGCCTACACTTGAGCCCTGAACTGTAGGAAGTGATTATGAAGTAAACAAAGAAGCTTTAATTTAAGCTTCATAAGTGTGCAGAAAACAACTATATTTCTAGGTTTATTGGTAACTTCTGACCTCTAAATAACTCCGAAAACAGAGTAAGAAATCTTGTAATTAGAGTATGACACAATCCCTCAATATTTAGAGGCTTTCTTAGTACATTTGGCGGCGTGCTTGAATATCTGGGTTACCTGTTCCTCCGATCTAGATATTTCTTCAAGCTATCTGTTTTGTTGTTTGTTTTAACACATGATTATATCTATTGTGCCCACAATCTATTCAGGCGCGTTTATGAAAAGTTTACAACCTTTCTCAATACGGGATACAAAAAGGTACAATCAACGACATCATGGTGGCTGGCAATATGCATGGAAACGAATGAACATTAATCAAATGTGGATTGCCGAACTCTTAACATCTAACTTATCATCATTCAAAATTTGTTGTCACAATCAATCAAGATATAAGAAAAGGAAACTTGTTGAAATACTTTATGCTGAGAATTCTATTTTGTACCAAAAATATAACGTTGAATAAAGCTCCTAATAATAATAAATAATAAATATTTGCTGATTGGACAAATTATTTTCAGTCCTTTCCTAACCTCTAAAAGCCTTATGGAGGAATTCTTATAGGACCTGTACGGTTTAGTTGTCTAGTGCCGATCGAATACTATCGATTAGTTTGCAGTATTGCCACTAGTCTGAGTGACCAAACATCGCTTGCACTACATCGAGATATTAGAAAGTTGAAGGTAGGCGTCAGGAAATCATGAACCTGGGGTTTCGTGCTATTCGACACTGGTTAGCAAGGAATATCTGTAACTTTGAGGGGATTGATTTTCTCCAATTGATTCGATCCCGAGTCACTCAGCTTCACTGTCTGTTAAAAATACATAAATTATTACTTTGTTACAGTTTTACTTCATTTTTAAATTGCAAATCTATGGTGGATTTGATTTCTTCTTATTGAAGACATTTGTACATTTTTTTATCATATTTATCAACCAGTTGTAATTAACATAAAAGAGCCTTATCCATTTTCGTTCACTTTATTTATCTTGTTTTTTTTCCATAGGTCCATGGATTAATGTAAAACCACCTCAAATAGGTTCAGGAAATCCTATATGTGTAACTTGTTTGACAATATTGCCTACTTACGAACATGTTTTAATAGGTTGGAGTAATGGGGATCTGACTGTTATTCGGGTGTTTGACGGTGGATTAATTCATTATTTGAAAGCAGCAACAGAAGATAATTCATCTATCCAGTGTATTGCAAGTAGTTGTACAAGATCTCTTTCAGCATTTGATGCATATCATATTATTGTTGGTTATGCATCTGGCGCTGTACGAGTAGGTTGTACAAATGAGTATAAAATTCGTTGATTACTATGTATAAATGAATCATAATTGTTCTTTATATTGATCAGTGTGTTGTTAAAAACTCTGACTGTGGCTTCCACCTTGATGTTTGTGGTCGGGACTGGTTGTTGTGCTGATCCAGGCGAAGTATATCGACTGAAACACTCGTTCCTTTAGGTTACACCATGCCAACCAGGTCGATTGAAGCACAGTAAAACTAAAAGCGAAAAATGAAGTGTTAGGTTTGAAGCTTCACGAGTTCCCTTAAACTGCGAACGAGAACAATACTCAGTGACCAAAGACCAGTAATCTAACTATTGATGCGTCCCAGCCCCGCTATCTAGAAGGGGAAGTCCAGGCTTGGTATGGAAAATATATTCTGCAAACGGCCAGAGAACGAGGGAGCAAGCAAGCAAGCGAACACTCAAACACAATTTAAAACGTATATATATATATATATATATATATATATATATATATATATATATATAATCGATATTGTCATAGTAAAATGTTTTTTTAAACATGACTCATTAACTTCATCAATCGATAGGCATTCAAATATTTAATCGATAAGTTCGTCATTTGACTTACATTCAAATATTCAAATATTTATTCGATAAGTTAATCGATATGATAAAATTACAAATATGAATTTTGGGGATATACCGTCCCCAACATGAAGGTCCTAAGGCAAAGTCGTACTTCTGGCTGTAGAGGAGTGTCAGCAGTAGAGTGTTCCTCTTCAGTAGCTAGCGTCTGCAAACATCGATACCATCTCACAATAAATAGATCGACCCTGAGAACATCACATCTCACCTTACCCCACGAAAATGGCGACTTTAATCGGTGTTCATGCATACGGACACGCGTATACAGCCTCTGCCAGGGAAGTCCTACTCACTGCCTTCTCGTGGCGGGGGGGTTGTTTACGAAAATAAGAGGACGAAAAGCGATGGGCAGAATTTTTCGAAGGGCAGTTCAACCGACAAGAAGAAATACGTGGAAGAACTAGCAACGACGGCAGAAAAAGCTGCTAGAGAAGGAAATATGAAACAGCTTTACGATACAACGAAGAAACTATCAGGGAAATACAGTAAACCAGAGAGGCCGGTCAAAGACAAAGAAGGCAAGCCAATCACCGAAATTCAACAACAGCGTAACAGATGGGTAGAATACTTCGAAGAGCTCCTGAATAGGCCGGCTCCAATGAATCCACCGAACATCGAAGCAGCACACATAGATCTTCCTATAGATGTCAATCCACCAACTACGGAAGAAATTAGAATGGCCGTCAGACAAATCAAGAACGGGAAAGCAGCGGGACCCGACAACATACCAGCTGAAGCACTGAAATCAGACATCGAAGCAACCACAAGCATGCTTTATCTTCTATTCAAAAAGATTTGGGAGGAGGAACAAGTGCCGAGGGACTGGAAAGAAGGACACCTCGTCAAGATTCCAAAGAAAGGAGATCTGAGCAAATGTGAAAACTACAGAGGCATAACACTACTGTCAATACCAGGGAAAGTCTTCAACAGATTGTTGCTGAACCGGATGAAGGATGCAGTAGACGCCCAACTTCGAGATCAACAAGCTGGATTCCGTAAGGATCGGTCGTGCACAGACCAAATTGCAACACTACGGATCATCGTCGAACAATCAGTTGAGTGGAACTCAACACTGTACATCAACTTCATTGATTATGAAAAGGCATTTGACAGTGTAGATAGGAGGACATTATGGAAACTTCTTCAACACTACGGAGTTCCTGGGAAGGTTGTCAACAGTATCCGGAACTCATACGACGGACTACAGTGCAAAGTAGTGCATGGAGGACAGCTGACAGATGCATTCCAAGTAAGGACCGGAGTCAAACAAGGCTGTCCACACTCTCCCTTCCTCTTTCTTCTGGTGGTCGACTGGATTATGAAGACCTCAACATCTGAAGGAAAACACGGAATACAATGGACAGCTCAGAACCAATTAGACGATTTGGACTTCGCAGATGACCTAGCCCTCCTATCACGTACACACGAACAGATGCAGATGAAGACAGCCAGTGTAGCAGCAGTCTCTGCATCAGTAGGCCTCAGCATACACAAAGGGAAAACCAAGGTCCTCAAATTCAAAGCGGAAAACAGCAATCCAATCACTCTTGATGGCGAAACTCTGGAAGATGTAGAATCCTTCACATACCTGGGAAGCATCATCGATGAACAAGGAGGATTAGATGCAGACGTAAAGGCGAGGATCGGCAAAGCAAGGGTCGCACTCCTACAATTGAAGAACATATGGAACTCAGAACAACTTTCAACCAATATCGAAGTCAGAATCTTAAATACGAACGTCAAGGCAGTTCTACTGTATGGAGCTGAAACTTGGAGAACTACAACAACCACAATCAAGAAATTACAAGTATTTATAAATACCTGTCTACGCAAGATACTCAACATCCATTGGGCGGATACCATCAGCAATAGCCTTCTGTGGGAGAGAACAAACCAACTTCCAGCTGAAGAAGAAATTAGGAAAAGACGACGGAAATGGATAGGACATACATTAGGGAAATCTTCAAACTGCATCAGGAGACAAGCCCTAACTTGGAATCCTGAAGGGAAGCGGAAAAGAGGAAGGTCAAAGAACACATTGCGTCGGATAATAGAAGCAGATATGAAAACGATGAATTACAACTGGACGGAGCTAGAAAGGATTGCTTGGGACAGGGTTGGATGGAGAATGCTGGTGAGCGGCCTATGCTCCTTCACGAGGAGTAACAGGCGTAAGTAAGTAAGTTCAACTGGCCTGCTGCTCCGGCAACATCGGCCAGACTGTCCTGCCCTTCATGACTGGTGACGACTGATCCACCAAATGAGGCGGAAGTCCTCAAGGAAATCCAACTCTTGAAGCATTACAAATCACCTGGCCCTGATGGCTTACCTCCGGCTCTTTTTAAAGATGGTGGTGACTTTCTGACTAAGGAATTGACGACGTTGTTTACAAAGGTCTGGGAGCTAGAGAGTGTTCCAACATCATGGAATGAGTCGATAGTTGTCCCTATCTTTAAAAAGGGTTCACGTCGTTTCTGTAACAACTATCGGGTGATAAGTCTACTTCCGATTGCATCCAAGCTATTGGCTTCCGTCATGCTTCATAGTTTGTTCAGAACCCGAGAAAGATTGACTGGCCAGGAGCAGGCTGGTTTTCGTTCTGGTCGAGGATGTATTGGTCATATCTTCACCCTCCGCCAAATGTTAGAACACCGCCATACTTATCAAAGGCCAACAATCGTAGTGTTTTTTGACATCAGGGCTGTCTTTGATTCACCGGACAGGACTGCTCTCTAGGATTGTCTGTTGAAGAAGGGTGTGCCTGAGAAGTTTATTAACATCCTAAAAGCCCTATATAAAAACACCTCAGGCAGAGTAAGGGCATACAACCACCTTTCTCCATTGTTTCATTCAAGCAGTGAAGTTAGACAGGGTTGCTTAATCTCAACATTCCTCTCCAACTTTGCCATCGATGACATTCTGGAAACCGGTTTGATGGATATAAGTAATGGTGATGAGGATCTCTTGTCTGGAGAAAGATTTCTCGACCATGAGTATACTGTCGATATTGTCTTACTGTGCGATAATGCCCAAGGCATGCAATCTGCACTTAATCAGTTGGCAGTCAATGTTCGTAGGTATGGTATGTGCTTTGCTCCTTCGAAGTGCAAAGCACTTCTACAAGACTGGCAGGATTCTAATCCTGTACTCACCGTGGATGGTGAGCAGATAGAAGTAGTCGAGAAGTTCGTGTATCCAGGTAGCTGCATAAGTGCTGATGGGGGTGTGAGTGATGAGATCAATGCACGAATAGTGAAAGCCAGAGCGGCTTCTGTCAATCTGGGTCATCTTTGGCGCCTTCGTTATGTCAGTCTGGCTGTAAAAGGTCGGATCTACAACACTTTTGTGAGAGCAGTTCTTCTCTATACTTGTGAAACCTGGCCCCTTCGAGTTGAGGATGTTAGACGACTCTCTGTGTTTGACCATCGTTGTCTCCGAAGGATTGCTGACATTCAGTGGCAACACCATGTCAGTAATTCAGGGGTTCGGCATCGTGTGTTCGGGCACAGAGACGATAATGCAATTGGTGTCACCATCTTGAAACACCGACTTCGGTAGCTTGGACATGTTCTACGAATGTCGTCTCAGAGGATCCCACGTCGTGCATTATTTGCCGACGCCGGGACTGGTTTGAGAAGGTGGAGAGGTGGTTAGTGTATGACATGGTGTTGTGGTGTGAAAGAAAGCTGCAAAGGGCTGGCTTGTGTTGGTTCTTCACAACTCCTTGGTTGGGTTGCTAGAGATGGTGCGTCACAGTGGCTAGTGACGTTATCAGATATGACTCAGAATAGAAGCCAGTGGCGATCCCCTGCTGCAACCTTTTGCTTTCTTCATAAAAGAATGGTTGTTTCTTCCTTAACTGAATGATTTCTTCTGGTTGAACCTTCCCGTTTCCCTCATTATTAGTATTATTACGCTACGTTACACTAATCTGGTCATTATTGTTCTTTTTTACGCTCCTTACCTTATTTTCTCTTCGAATTCTCATTGTTTTGTGTGGCGCACATATATTTGGTGCCCTCTTGTACCAATATTTATGTGTTCAAATAAACAAATAATAAACGAGGTTTTATGTTGCAACTGAGTGAAAAATTCGTTATTCTACATGTTATGCCAATCACTTTGACTGTTACACTTCCCAAGTGATGCATAACCTCACTGAGAATTTGTGTGGTTTTTAAGTAGTTGTGGTAACTTGACTGGTAGACTGGATTTCTTTTAAACTCGATCATTCTTTATAATATCAGCTGAATAGTAGTTGATTTTTAATTTTGTGCAATTTAAGTGATCTACAAAATGAAAATTGATACTTTTGTTTATTAATTGGTGATTTATTGAAGTTGATTGTATACATTACACTCATATTTATGACTTGAAATGTAACGAGTTTGCATTGCTTATTCGTCTTTTCGAACTATACTTTCTTTTAGATATTTCTATGCATTTTAAGACCAAATGTTAGTCCACACAAAGATCGTTATGTGTATCAGTCGGCAAATGCCATGTCAGAGTTTCATTTCCAACTCATTGATACTTTATGGTCACATTGTTTAAATCATAATGTGAATGGTGGAGTGCCGGAAAATGGAGGGACATTATGTGTTGCAAGTGACTTCTGTGTAGCTGTTACTGGAGGTGGGAATGCTGAGACATGGGTTCATTTTATTGGTCGACGGACTGGTTGTAAAATTAAGAAATCTGTTTGCCTGAAAGAACACAATTCTGCAGTAATCGCTGTTAGTATGGATAACAAATTTTTTGCGACAGCTTCTAAAAGCAGAGTAAGCTATGCATATGGTGGTTTACATTATTATTTGATAAGGCTGAGATTTCTAAGACAGTACTTGTGTTTGATAATACTTAAATAACTATGTTATCCAGTTGTTGATCTATACTGAAAGCATAGGAAAAATAAGTTTCATGTTTTAGGAAACCGTTTACTCAGTTTAGTTGTAGCTGGTTGTTTTGAAAATTCCAACGTCTACAACTAATGAGTTCCTAATAGTGAACGTGTTCCACTGACATTTATAGTTTCTGAGTTTACATTAAATCATAAGTGGTCGCCATAAAATATTACTTTTTGTCGGTTTCCTAGGTGGAAAAAGCCTAAATGAAGGCTGTTTGTATTTCTTCTTTCATATGTCTGTGTAAAATATTGTTTGGTCTGACTTTTTTCGGTAATCCATGTTTACTTAGCAATATGGGAGTAGAATCTGACTTCTCTGTTGGGAAATAAAATTTGAGTGAAACCATTTAGGTGAAGTGTTCAAATCATTAAAATATGTGTTATTGTCTGACAAACGAAGTTATATATTTGTTTAAATTATCGGATTTCTGAACTCACGAGGAAAGTGGTTCATGGACTGAACTTTCTGTCACTGAAAAAAAGAGTTCGACCGTTCGAGTAACATCTTTCCTGGATTCCTCGTCGAGAATGTCTACGAATGTGATGGTCCAGGTGAATAACCACCGATCCAACGATAATGCGTTAATCAGTGATGTATGGAGTGATTACTTCCATACTGACCAATTTATTAGGCTCCTCTCCATCACTTGTTTGGAATGGTCGTGGAATTTGTCTCAATTTTAAGATATATCGATTATAAGTTTTTGTGACCTGGGATCTGTTTCCAGTTAGGTTGAACAAATGATCGTTATTGAATGATTGCTGTTGAAATATACATCCTGACTATTCCCGTATATAATTATCAACTTAAATTGCATTAGTGCATAACGTAATCAAATAAGTTAAATACGAGAATGGATTTTTGTACACTCACTGATCTCGAGATGCAATCAGGGGGATTTAGCGAAGGAAGCGAAATGTTGCATTGTGGGAAAGACATGTAAGCCAAATCCATTTTACCAAGCGTTATCAATATATCTAGCCAGATACATGAACATCAATAAATCACTGCATCATATAAATGGTTCCTATATAATCGGAACATTATGTAGTATACAATCGCTGGAAGCCAAAGGATGTTAGTTACGAAACCTCATCCAGTTTTCTATTCGTATTATAACTTGTTTATTGAAGAGATTATTATTCATTGAGAACAATAATCAGAAAGTTTGTGTTTAGTTAGTTACAAAATAACTTTTTGTGTTTTATTTTTCATCACAAATGATTAGCTTCTTATGACAACATTGAATAAACCAAATTGCAGTAAATATGTTATCAACACATAACTCATCTTTCTTATTAAACACATTGTCTGTCGTTAATCTGAAGAGTGTTATTTCCAATGTGTGTCGAAAAACTGATTTATTGTATGTTCTATTACTGCAAAGTTTGGTAATGAATTGACTATATTGAATGGTTTAGGTAAAAAATTCAATATGTTCTCTACTATTTTTATTATAGCTTGTAGAGGTCAGAATTAGATGAGTCTCTATTGAATGAATGTCTGGATGTTTGATATTCTGAATTTTACTACTCGTCACTATTTGAACATCTAGTCAACTCATAGTTATAAACTATATCTAGTGTTGCACTCAAGGAACCCACTTGTTAACAGGATGTTGCATCTTGTTCCTGGGGTTTCGTACGGGCCTACAATGTTTGCGGATCTAGGAAGAAAAATGATTTTGCTTCTCTAATACGATCGGTTCCCTTTCGAATCAACGACGGCCGTTTACGTACAATACATCAAACCCCGATGGCCAACACGGGAGGAAGACAGATTGCAAGGAACTTGGTATTCGAGGTAGAACAAGCAACACAGAACGAATTGGTGCAACTGTTGTTACTAAAGTAGAAAATGTGAGCTTCATGCATATAGAAATTTAGGGAGCTAAAAGTTATGAAAAACAATCGGTCAAAGGTTATGCGGGAAATCGAATTAGAGAAGGATGTGCAAGCGTTTATTGTTCCTGAAGAGATTTTAGCAACTCCAATAATATTTGATTATTCTTGTGATCACCCTTGCACTGGGACCGGTTAACTCTTGTTGTGTATATCATAACTTACTAGGGTTAAATGAGGGTTATATATTAGTATGAAGAACTATGATTAGGGTTTACAGTTGAACGTTCGGGTTATGAAGTAGATTTAATGTTTTAATCATGAACTGACATCAGATATAATGCCAAAATGGTGTTTAGTCAAATAAGTAAATGAATTTCACGTCAAAATCGAAAATCCGCTTTCCTGAGTGTGATTAGTTTGTCCATAAATCATAGTCTCACCACTTTTGTTATTGAGTGAGCGCCATAAATTTAGGGACAATAATTGATGCGTCCGAGTCTCCTTGTAAATACCATCATTAGTTACTAGTTACATTCAGATGTCACATGCCTAGTCACTCAAAATACAAGTCTACTATCCAAAAGTCTCATTGTTTTCATCAAAATTTCTCAATAAGTAAGGGCTTTTGTTACAGCCTTTTACTGTTTTCTTTATTAAATAATGTACCTCTGTATTTTTTATTGCAGCAATTGGCGTTGTATAAATTCGATTCATTAGAACGAACTGTAACCTTATGGCATTTAATCAATGATGTTGGAACAGCTCCAATCACTTCTTTCCACTTATTACGTATGTTCCTGGGTGTGGACACAATCAGTGTATCGGTGTATATTGGTGATAGTAATAGTCTACTGCATAATTACGCAATAATTGATAAAAAGTTCCAATTGAAACAAACATTTGATGCAAATAAATCTCCTATAAAATTTATGGAACGTGTTGTAAGTCCAGTTAAAATAACTGAACTGGAAATATTTCTCTTTTTCATTCGTCAACTTTATACAGCATCCCTGGCTCAACTGATTTGACTAATGGAGTAATTTTAATTTTCGTAAAATCTTATGAGTTCGAAATGATTGTTTTCTAACCAAATCGGTCGTCATGTTCAGAAATGGATGATGTCTAGCAATGAGATTCAGGATGCACATTTCGTCTAATTTTGGACTGGTCATCTGTATGTTCCTGCACCCCAGAGGTATACTCGGTAGGTAAGTGGATAACGCGATAGAGTCTGGGGCGAACTATACTGGGTTTGAGTCTTGGCGTGAATACCAACCCTGGGATGCAGATGCATCTAGCTAACGCACCTCCTGAATCTCATTTCTATGATTGATTACCAATTAAAAATCTTTTTGGATCTCAGATAAAGCAATGCAAACAGTGCCTTGATTTTCGTTGTTATTAAGCTTAATTCCACCCGTTCTCATTGACAATTACCATTTAATTTTGAAGAATTGACAAGTGAATATCTACAAAACGTTAACAATCGAATTGACTTATTTCCTTTCAACAGTATCTTCCACTTGAGTGCTAAAAACTCTCGAGGCGGTTCTATATGATGCTTCGAAAGCATACTTAATGAATTAATCGTTATATCTTCCATATATTTATGCTAAATATTGATTCCGTCTCACTATTTTTCCCTACATACTAAGTCGAATCATTTGTTCGCTGCTTCGGATGATGGTGAAGTTAGCGTCTGGAAGCATGATAAACATGGTGCTTTGCAATTCTCTCACCGTCTCAATGTCTGCACAGATATGCCGTCAAAGAATAATAGTAATAATAGCACTTTGGAAGAATCATATTATTTGACCAGCTTTTTCATGTTCTACGTTGGTTATGATTCCTTGAAATGTAAGTGTTTTTAAGATTTGCTGCTCGTCTACTAATTTTTTTATAATTTTCCACAGTCCAATGGTATTACAGTCTGTTCTATATGGAAAATAGTTGTAATATGTGGATTCTTTAATCACCATTGTCTGTCGTCAGACTTTCAGCTACTAAGTCTCAGGTTCTAGCTTCGCTTCTACTTTTCTTGGTTTGAACAATCGAGTAGTGTCATTAGAATTGTGTACATGTTTTTTTCATAATTTAAAGTCACAACTGATCACCTGTAATCTTCTATCATGCACGTTAGATGATGAAGACTCATAGAACAAGCATAACAAATTCTAGACTAATTATGAACGTTACATTAATACGATCTATCTATTATTTTGTACTTCATACTTAACGAATTCCTCAACTTCTTCTTACTGTCAACATTATCTATGTTAATTTTAGTTGAACGAAAACTATGCAGTCCAACTATTGAAACAATCGATAAATTGATGATATCCAAGCCTGATAATCAACATACTGAATCTGATGATGAAGTGAAGGATCCGGATTCTGAAGTTACTTCACTTAGTGGATGTTGCATGTCAAACAGCAATAGTTATGTAACAGGTTCAGATCAAAAAATTTATGAATGTGGTTACAAAATACATATTGATATTGAAGAGAGAAATAAAACATATTTTATTGCTACTGATTATCTGAAAGATGAACAATTTCATTTGTTGAATTCATGTAAAAAAGGATACATAGTTTATCGAGATACATCATATGATGCAACGTATCGTTTATTATATGGTGTTAGATTATCATGCAATAAATCGTCTGATTGCTCACAAGTTATTCAGGATTTTCGTTATCGAATATTTGCACCATTCATTCTACAATATCGTGGTACATTGAAAGGACACTCAGGTCTTGTTCCATGTACACTGACCTCTGGATGTACCACTAATAGTGATGAAGATTGTATAGTTGCCAGTGCATCTGGTCGAACTGTGTGTGATGTCGGTTGTGATATTCGTCTTTGGAGTATACCTTCGAAAAGGAAACTATTGAATTGTAAGCATTAATTATCGTTTTCGGTTTTATTGAATTACGTTGCATTGAATAGTATTTTGATCTGATCGGTGTGTACGGTGCTTTCGGCAGTCGTCCAAACACAGTCAGACCTAATCACTCTCATTACAATATAATGTTTGCGAGTCTTACAGTAAACATATGATAAATTTGTAGATAGATAGATACCCTTGCTTTTCTAATGATCTAGCAAGGGTTTTCTATCTCACTAGTCAAAATTGTGTTTAGTTACTCGGTCACATTACGCCACATCACAGGGCATCGTTTGTCGAATATGATAAAAACCAATCTGATAATTGGGACTGGAATTTGATCATAGCCATCAGCAATTAGTCTGTCAGTTTATCCATATTTACTTAATTTATTCTCCTTGTTACAGCACAAGAGATCAGCTGAGTTGTTTTGAAATTTACATCTTCAGGCTACTTGCAGAGTGTAATATTTGTGGATATTCCGTTTTTCTCCATGAACAGATCGTTTTGCTTTGCTATTATGTTAAACACGGGATTCAATTTTATGTAAAACCATTCCACTAATGCCGACTGTTCAACTTTGTTGACTTAATTAATATGGCTAGAATATGCAACACATGATCTCAGTTGGAAATGAATATTAAAGATGTTTGTTGTAAAGATTTTAGATAGTCACTTCACTAATCTGACTGAGAATTTTACAGTGACTTGTTTTAAATCCAAGTTCGCAAGATGCGTTTGTTTTACTAGAGGAATGTATAATATCGTTTGTACGTAGCTCAACTTGTCATTAAATTTGTGTGTAAATGAAATATTATTTTGTTAAAAATATTTAAAAACAGATTCAGTATGAAACCAGCTTTATGTGCTTGTAATATTTACTTTTAAGATGAAACAATCACAGATTTTAAAGAGACTAAACATTGTGTTAATAATGGACTTCAATCTCTTATAACAAGTTATTATTGTATCAAAACATGGCATAGTTTTGTTTAAATAAATTATTTCAAAGGTCACTTCATCTTTACACGATTGTGCTTCAGCGTGTTTCGGCCTACTGATTTAAAAGAATTGTTTCATTAACTGTGATTTACTTGATTTGGTTACTTTTATTGTTAGCGTCCTTATGGATTCCGATTGTGTGAACTCTATCCAGAAACGGCGTCTAAACTTTTGTTAAATTAAGGAATGAAAATAGTGAATTGTAATAGGTGTATAATTCAGTTCCAAAACACTTAAATCATCCTAACTTATACAACCTGATAATGCTGGGGTCACTGTGACTACATGGTAATGACAGTTGAAAGAAAATAGGTGTCCCATTCGTGTATTAAAGAAACCAAGAAACTGTACATATTGGTTTAATTCATTTCAGAATGACAGTAATGGTTAGCAAAGAAGTCTGTACTGATGATGATCGAATTGCTTTAGTGAAAGGAGCTCAGTGATAAGGAGCAACTTCCAATCTCATTTCAGTAATGTATATGTACAAGATGGAAAGAGAAACTTTTAAGCCAATCTTTTTCAGTTTTATCATCACAATATGAAATGTTTCCCTATATAAGTTGGTACTTTGTTAATCATTTCATACTGTTGTGATTAGTGATTTGGGATTGAATAACGTGTGTAGTTTTTGTTTGAGTGATATCGCTCACCACCATGTGTAATCATCGTCGCTTCACTTGATAATCAGATTGTAGATGCCGACTGTTTGTACAGTTGGAAAACCTGACATTAGCGATCGAATACTTGGTTAATTTCAGTGGTTAGCTAACTAAAGCCAGTCCGTCCTATGGAACTTAGAATTTCCACAAAACCTTATCTTAACAACATAGAAATTACAAACATTTAATCATGATTAGGTTTTATGAAGCTACTGTACTTGTTAGTCGTTTGTTGTTTTATTTAGATCAACCAAATCAACATTTTGGACCGATCACATGTTTGGGCCAATTAAAAATTACAGATCACTACAGTATCTGTATATCAGGTTGTATGGATGGGAGTGTAATGTTTTGGTCATTTAAGAATTCCGAGCCGTTGGATCTTAAACATGTGTCAGTTGCAGACTTGACAAATAAAAAGTCTATAAAATGGAAACCGTTATTACATGGATTTTGTTCAGCGTTACGACCAAAATATGCAATATCCGATATTGCTACACAAACTTATGTGATGGATGAATCGAAACGAACAGTGCAATATTTGATTTATATTGCTTACGGTGAAAAATTATGGAGAATGCGAATTATATTGGATCAGTCGAATATGTCTATGAATGATGTACAAAATACTTTTGAACGATTGTTCTCTATGAATGGGAAAACAGAACTCCATTTTGCAGAATTAGATGTATTCTGGTCATCTGAATTAGATATTCCTTGTTCTGATATTGCTAGGTGATTCATGTTTCATTTTGTTGTTACGTTGAATTGAAATCCATTTTTGATATATTTTCATCTATTGACTAAGGGAATGCGTAGCTTGGTAAATGACTATTTAAACTCGACTTGTAATATCCCTCTCTCCACAGTATAAATTAGTGGAAAGAAAACGTCCTGTCGGTTTTAGTGCAATGATTTTAATTGTACTGGATTTTTTACACCGTAAATCGTTTTTCGACTGGGCACTGAATGGTGATCACCTTCATTAAGAGATGATTTTCATCACGAATCTTATATTACGATTGTCATGACGTCTTTCGAACAGACCGATATGGGACTAGTGTGCTTCACTGATTTCCATTTCATTGATTTATACATTGCTTGCTTGTTACAGGGTCCGGAAACCTTGAGTTCTATTCTGTCTACAGAGTAGTCGTTTCTCTTTAATCAGAAGATGTAACAGTTGTGTATGTTGACCTCCTAATTTCAATTGAAGTAAATCAGTAACCCAAGATTTTCGCATTTTATTTTACAATGTATGCTGAATATGTCTTATCAACAGATGAATAGGTTAATAAGTAAATTCAACTGATTTAGTGAATAATTCTGTTTTCTCTTTCAAGCATTCAGTTTAAATTTGACCACAATCGCATACGTCTCTGCAAATACAGAATGTGAGTAGTATATGTAGTCTAAGACAATAAAGAAACGGGAAACATTTTTGTCCACAGATAATCTGTTTCATAAGAGGTAATTTTATGACTGTCTTAATCACCTTTGTAATGACTTGATTTGGTCTTGTGATCAGACTAGAGAATGAATCATTTTCAACGTTGTTGGAAGATGGATATCGTTGTTAGGTCTTCCGGAGTAATCTAACCTTCATCATACGGAATCGTAGCTTTTTATGTGAAGACCGTTTCCTCCCAGAACTGAGTTTAATTGGTTTTCTCCGGGTAACGTTATCTTACTAGGGTTTTTCCTATGGCGTGGTAGTGTTGGTAATCCTACACCTAACTCTTCTCCTTTACCCCAGTTTTGGACCGCCAGCGTCCCTAGACAATATTCAACGTAGTCGTAAATTTGATTCCAGGTACCAAATGTTGTCATTTTTATAGATCAGTTAACAAAAGGCACCGAAGTACTTGACAGTTTTTAGAATTTTTAAACTGTGTTTACACTTATTTATTTATTGAGGTGTCTGACTTTATAAATCAATAGTATGTTCATTTGAATTGTTAATTTGTTTCTTGTTACTTTGTACGCATAAATTAGCTTCACTGCAAGTCATCCTATTGTAAAAATATCTCCACGTTATGCTAAACCTAATGAATTAGAACAATGTGAAGTTATTGCTGTCCTCGTCAATGGTGATGTAATTGTTTTGACGAGTAATGAGCATGAAAAGTTTTCATTTGATCAATGTATTGTAGAAAAGTAAGTTGTAATTTTGTTGAGATGGAACAATGTTGAACTTCTATGCGTATTTTTTTTCATGAAGATTTTTATCAAATATTAGAACATATTAGAGCATAAATAAAGATTAATTATTTCTATCAGTTGAAGTTGCCCAGAAGGTGTTTCATCAGAAAGTAACCATGTTCCACTTTCGTCTTACCAAGTCGCAACATCTGTGGTTAATGTTAGCGTCCAGCATGAAAGAGTGTTGAATAAATTGGGTGATAAGTGTTCGACCCACCTAAACTCGTGTTGCGTGATAGTATCATTTATTTAATGGTCTCGAAACACAGCATATTTATGGAGTACCAAAAGTTTGTTGTGGACATCAACCAGCTAACTCAATGAAATGTTTAGCATATTGAGCTAAGGTGTTCTAGTTTTGTCAAGAGTAGATCTGAACTACTCGCACCACTGTATTGTGTATCCAACCTTTTATGACTAGACTGATGTTACGACAATGCTATGTATTACTGAGATTCACATAAACCACTTGATCGTACGCTACACAGGATAGGTTTTTCCTGTCACAAAGCCATAGGTAACCACACTATTATTTGTAAAGTCTAACCACCAAAGATGAATGGATGTAGAGTGTTTTACAAGCCATGTAACAATGCTTCACGTTTCTGCCGTTCAACGCATGTAACATGCTTATAGATGGAAACTGACGAGTATTGGTAGCGGAATCGCATTGAGTTGATTGTCACTTGCACCACGTATTTGTATTACAGGTAAATCGGAAAACAAGTTGGTCACGAATGGATGAAACAATTTCTTTATTTAAAATGAGCGGGCTATTTTTCAGTGTTTGAAGTTTCCTTCAATAAAACTTTTTAACAGAAATGAGTTTCTGAGTAAAATATAGAATTAAATTGAAATCACTAATACAAAATGGTTTTGTGTATTATGATATAAAGTTTTTAACCAAGTGTTTACTATAGACTTACCAGTATTTCGTATCATTGTAATATGTGTGAATATTTGTGCGCATAGGCTGAATTTTATGGCCTACTCTGAGGACAATCATTCGAACTTTTGTCCTAAAATTGTAATCTACAAGATGGCAGGTGGTAATGAACGCCATTTTCTTTATTTTTTTGCCATTACATGCCGTGTGCAGTCAGTTACAGTGTAGGACCAAGCACATATATGCATCGGTCCATGTTGCCATACCTCATTAACACAACAAGATGAACACCGGATTCATAAAAGTAGTTAATTCAGAGGTGGTAATATATAAAAGAAAGATTGCAATAAGGATATAGTACGGGAAGAAATAATTAGTTCGTAGAAAGTAAGATATGAAGCGATTTTAATTTCTTAGTTTAAGGGAAGACAGATAGTGTATACACCGAAGTCATTATGATCGATTCTGAGCCATGTCACCAAGGTGTACAACCATTGGTTACGATAGTCACGCGGACCCAACCGAGTAACCTGCATCTAGCAACATGGCTAAGACTAGGAGTTAGTGACTTCAAGCACTGATGCCACGTTTTGGTCTGGCTGCCACTAACTTTCTTCCAACCATCTCCAACAATGGTTAGCATTGCACGTCGTGGTAATCGATGTTCGAGCATACGTAACACGTGGCCCAACCATCTCATTCGATGAAGATTCACAACCTGATCAACTGATTTGCCATCATTCCCTAATACCCTGCGTCTAACCGCACTATTACTTACTCGGTGATCCCAGAAGTCGCCAGCAATATTTCTGAGGCATCTGCGGTCAAATACTAGTAGCTTACAAGTGTCTTCTACTCCTAATGGCCATGTTTCGCTGCCGTAAATTAAAACAGAACGAACTGCCGCGCAGTATACTCGTCCTTTTATTGATAGACGGATATCTCGCCTTCGCCATAGATGACGTCAGTTGGCAAAAGCCAAACGAGCTTTCCGAGTCCGTGCTGAGATTTCGTCAGACACCAACCCATTATGGGTGATCAGACTTCCAAGATAAGTGAAGTTGTCAACGCGTTCAACTACTTCACTACCTATCTTTAGTTCAGGTGTTGACGCAGACCAGTCCTGAAGCAACAACTTGCATTTAGAGGAAGAGAAGCGCACTCCAAACATTCTGGCATTGTTGCTCAGTGCTACCAAAAGACTCTGCATTTTATCAGCGTCTTCACCAAACAGGACTATGTAATCTGCGTATTCTAAGTCGATAAGTGGACCTCCTGGAAGGAGATCAATACCCGAGAATTCAGTCGACGAGAGTGTTATTTCCATCAATAGGTCTATGATGAAGTTAAACAAAAATGGAGAAAGTGGACAGCCTTGACGGACACCACTTGAGGTTGCAAAATCAGATGACAGTTTGCCATAAGCTCTTACTTGACTGGTAGTGTTTGAGTAAAGAGCCTTCACAAACTTTACGTACTTCTGAGGTACGCCTTTCAATGACAGACACTGCCACAAAATCTCGCGGTCCTCCGAGTCAAATACTGCTTTTAAGTCAAGAAAGACCACCATTGTCGGACGCCGATAAGTATGCCTGTGTTCTAGAACCTGACGAATGGTGAATATGTGGTCGATGCATCCACAACCAGGTCTGAAGCCAGCTTGATTCTCTCGTGTTTGCAGTTCATGAGTCTTAATTAGGCGTCTGACAATTATCGAGGCTAGTATTTTAGATACTATATTAGTTAAACTAATCCCTCTATGGTAGTTACAGGATGATTTTGACCCTCTCTTGTATATTGGGACGATAAGTGATTGCGACAAGTCAGATGGAATAACGTCTAACTCCCAGATCTTAGCTAAAATATTAGTCAGCCTAATCGCTAAAATTGGACCACCAACCTTAAAAACCTCTGGAGCCAATCCATCTGGACCAGCTGCCCTTCCTCGTTTCAGATGAACTATAGCCTTTTGAACTTCAGCTAGAGTTGGGGGATCTACTTCAATGTTCCATTCACACTCTGAGAATGGAGGGTAGTTGTAGAGTAGCTGAAGGCCAGCTGAACTGTTCTCTGAAATGTTCCGCTCATCGTTCTAAACGTCTGGACTGGGAGCAGATGAGGGTGTCGTCTTTTTCCGAAATAGTCTGACTTACATTTGACTTATTAATTCCAGTTTCTTTTATGAGTCTGAAGAGCTGTCTTGTGTCTCCTATAGCCGCGGCCTTTTCCATCTCTTTTGCTTCCGTCGCCCACCACTGCTCACGGTCGTTCCTTAGACTTTTTCTTAACCTAGATCTGATTTGTTTTCACTCTTCATCGTGCTCAAAGCCTGATGGGATGAGTTTACGAGAATCCATCAGTGTAATAGACCTTGAAGAAATCCATTGCTTTTTGTAACCCTGTGGTTTAAATCACTGATAGATGTCACTGCTATTTCCACAGCTGTTTGTATAGCTTTCCAAGCAACATCTGGGTCAACCTCATTTTCAGAACTACCTAATTGTGACCTTAGTTGTTCCTGGAACCTACTTTTGGTTTTCTCGCTACTCAATCCAGTTCTAATGGGTCTTTTTACTGTGGCTTTTTTGCGTCCAGTGAGGCGCGAGCAGATGCATTCCCGTATTAGGGCGTGGTCGGAGTCCAAGCAGGTACTCCAGAATGAGCGACAATCTTCTATCGACCCTCTCCAACGATGACTGATGGCAATATGGTGTATTGGAGTCCATCGTTGGTTTGGTGTATGGGGTCGCCAGATACACGGAGAGTGTATCTCGTTGGCTCTCCGTTTTGCCGAGGTGAGGTCAAGTGAATGACCACACTGGGATCCTTCATGCCTGTTTCAGAAACACAGCAGACATCAATGGTGCGAGATTCTAGGGTTCTAGCCAGGGTGCGTACGTTGAAGACTCCAATGTGTAGTTTGGAGCGAGGTTTCAGTTGACCTGGGACAGTGTTTTGAGCACTAGAATCGTTGGCTGTGGTGACACTTGAGGAGGAAGCCGAAAGATGAAGTTTAGAGGTGTAAGTCGATGTAGGAGGAATAATAGGAATTGAAGAGGAAGGTTGATTATGAATACAGTGGTCTTGAGTGCTGTTAGAGGTGCGAGGGCGGTTATTAATTCCTGGTTGCCCACACTGTAAAAGGGTTCTTCTGGAGGTGCCTGAAAAGGAAATTGGATTAGAGATGGTCTTAGTGACCTGATAGCATGATCTCAGTGCCCAAGGGACAACTGCTTGAGGTCGGTCACACACGACCTTTTTATAGGTAATTTTTGTGTTAGCTCCGTACTTGTTGAGACCTTACCACCGGAGACGGATATCCTTGGGATGAGGCGAGGTGCGCATTTTTAGGGTCGACCTTTTCTCACCCCCCCTGAGTGAAGGCGGCATCGCTGTCATGCTGGTTGTCTGAAGGAAACACCTTACAGCTGTCACACCTCTGTACAGTCAGCAGTACAACTTCGCCTTCGGACCTTAGGTTTGTTGCTTTTAGTCTTAATGCTCTTCAACTGACCTGTCTGACATGGTATGACCTTGAGGAACGGTTGTTCCAGCCAATATGGTTCGGTTGCTTCATCACGATAGGTAAGCCCGACCACCACGTCAAGGCAGCAACAACGGTCGGGAAAATTATAATCTACAAGATGGCAGGTGGTAATGAACGCCATTTTCTTTATTTTTTGCCATTAGATGCCTTGTGCATAGAATAGTACACTCCACACCAGTATGGACTAAATTTTTCAACTGTTAACCAGATCTCATTATCATGATAATGATGCTTGTCCTTATTTCTATTCACATAACATCCTGAATTGTTTAGGCAATGCTATTGTTATTTTATTTTCTAAATTTTGTTCCAGTGGTTTATGGTGCTCATCTATAGGTACGAATGTTGTTGGAGTTTTCACCACACGTTCAGGCATGGCTTTTATATGTAGACACACTGATGAAGTAAGCATTGAGTTGATTTATTCGCATAAGTGCTATGTATATGGTTGGTTTCTAATACATCTGACATTAACTGTTACTGACTTGGTAGGCGCTTCTTATAACGTCAGATTACTTCTACATTTGACGAATAGAGAAAATAGGCGAAGTACATGTAAGATGTTTACTTCAAGTTTAATCTACGTATGGGAAGTTAACTGCATTCACAGAGTTTGATGTGACTTTGGTGTTCCACAAACTGATGGAAACATTAGTATATGGTAATGCATAAGTAGCTACCTGTGGTGGATCCCAGCAAAAGTGCTTATTCAAGATATATCAATACACAAAGTTATTAATAATATACCAAAAGAGTTAACAGTAAAAACCGTAGGTGTCTGTCTATCAGTAAAGCAAAAGGTAACAAATTACAGTTAGAATACAAATGGTATATTAAACAACAAGGTAATAACAGTTCTTATGAAATGAAGGTTACTTGTAAGCCGCTCCCTGAGATAACAACCACAAATGAGTTCACTAAATTAACGAAGATTCCTCTGCACGTGATGGCATTAACGGCGTAATGAGAAAGATTGAATCCAATAGTATTATTTAATAATAATCCGAGCCAAAATCCAACGTAGTGTAGGAAGGCCTAAAAGGACGTTATAACACTTATAGTCTTCAATCAAAGGCCGTGGCCAATAAAGCAGAAGAACAGACGGCGGAGATAGCGATTTTTTATTTCAACCTATGCGGTAGAATATTCGTATATGCATATCCAAACAATTATAATTACAAGTGATACAGAAAAACAATAGATATTGAATAAAAATGTGGTTACATATAAAATGTGACAAATTGGAGGGAAAATGCAGTTTTTATTTTGTCGTTACAAAAATCACTGAATATACGTCACCATATCACCCAATCAAGGCGTCGAACATGATCCTTCATTTTTCCAGATGTTTCTGAGAAGCTTCTATTCAATGCCGATTTAGCAAAACATTTTCAAACTTTTCATGAGTTTCTATAGACTTTGTTGAATGATATTCGTCCCTCGATTTTCCTATTGATGCAAATGAGAAATTCTTGAAAAATGAAATCTTCCTTTTTTTCTTGACTCATTGTAAAGTAGGCACTGGATGTGAAGTAAAATTATTGTTTTTGTAAGAAATATGTGGGTTATGCATAACTGTTTTTCTATGATATCAATGAGTCGCTCTAGGAAAAGATCTTTATCACTCAACATTAATTTGTACGTATATGGATAATCAGGATTCATCTGTTACTACGACAACATATTTTGTTGGATAAATGTGGTTTTATGTTTGTCCTTATTGGTGAGAGTTTATCTTCTGAACAGTAATACTATGAAGTGCCCTATTCTAAGCAACTGTGGTGAGTAGAACACAATTTTCTCCTTTGATTACACACTAAGTCACCCCGTCACTTCAGTAAGAGAGAGGAGCGGACTGATCTTGACGAGAATGCTTTTTCTGTCACCATAAGGAGTGGAGAAGGCGATACACCTGTCCTGTTTATGCTCAATATAAGTCCGTATAGCTGGCTTTGTGCTAGAATATTTGTGTTCTGGTTAATCATAGTACACGGTCCTCCATGCATAGGTGGATTGAGCACAATTTGAACCTGTACACAAATTATTCAGAGTAGTATGAATCGCATAGTTGCTATTGATGATAGATAACTAAATGTAAATTTCTTGCGATGACTAATACAATTTACAGTCCTCTCATCTGATTGGATGTGAATGATGTTTCTTACACAGTTGTGATGTGTATGTAAATCACGGTTTTATTTCCAAAATAATTTATAATACTTGTTTCCGTTGTCCTCTTTCATGTAAAATGCTTAATCTTCTTTTTAGAGTCGTACATTTCACCGTATTTCTGGATACATGGGATCATGTGAAAAAGAAATGTGGATAAATACATTGAGTGTTCTATCTACCGTACAAACAGAAGGCAGTCATTTGTAAGTAGTTTGTTGGAGTGATATTTCGTATTTAAATGTGATTATTGTGTAATAGAAGTAGCTGGATAGAAAAAAACATTACGTCATAGTAATTTTAATTGTGAGTCTACTTCAATAAGTCTATTCTTATTGACAATGTACATCATGAAATCTTTCAATAGCGATAACGCGCAAAATGTATGATTTGTTTTCACACATCACTTTAAAAGGACATTTACAGTGGAAATTTATTTGTCTTACAGATATAATATTGGAACCGTAAACGCGATACTGACGATCACAGAGTCTATATGAAATCTATAGTCAGAACAAAGACAACTTGGCCTCAAACTTTATCTGTTTCTGAACGTAAAAACAATCAGATCAGTACAATAATTAAGGAAATTACAGTTATTAGGTGAAACGCACAAACATACTGACCAGTATTGCGCGTCTTATCGAAATGAATAAAATTATGAGTCACACTAATATAATAGGGTAATAATGTCTTTCAATTGGTAAGTCACATGCAACAAGGATAGTTTACAGACACATCAGACCAGATCAACGTGGTGGGTGCTTAAACAACGATTCTATTGGTTAGTTATGGACATAACTAACATCCCCCAAGTGGACACCACGTCCAGACTTCGTTACCGTCGTGCTCAAATAGTCGGCCTCTTCCAGTAGACACAGGTTCCGTATGTCCCGGCTGATCTCCTCGGTTGCTGTCTTCAGTCGAACAGTTCTGACTCATCCATCTGGACCATAATTGACCTGTCTAACTATAGCTTTCGGCCACAGATTTCTCGGTGATCCAATATTATTTATCAATAATTTCAAGAGAACGCATAAAAATGAGTTAGTATCCAAGGTGTGGGCCATTCCAATGTGAACTACTATAATAGACAGGCAAGCGAACGGACATTTATATATTTATTTTAACACATACTTATTGGTAGAAGGGGGCACCAAATACATATCTCACTATCACCTGTGTGTTGTGTTCTTTGACCTACAATCACTGATACTTGTAATGTGAATGTTTAACGGTAGTTGTCCTTTGTGTTTCTTTTTCATTCAGATTGTATTTGGCTGAATGTCATCTTATCAATTGTTGGAGAATTCTCATTTGTAATGAAAATGGTGATTTGGTGACAGATTTTACAGTGAGTTTTTATGCCTAATATATTGTTTACGTTGTACAAATGTAAACATTGTTGATAATATGTCTGGTGTTGGCTTTCGATTTCTGTGGTGTATTTCTTCTTATTATTAATAATTTTCTAATCCTTTAGTCAATATTTGTACGTTTTGTTCAATCCGATGCAAAGTGTAAAACTACCGACATCATGGTGAATACTTTCTTTTCTCCTTGGAATAGCTTGATAATTCATCAATAAAAGTTACTGGATATTGTGCGAAGTTACTATCACCAACTGAAGACAATAGTTCAACATTGATCTATCTTATAATTGCAACATCAGATAATATTTTACGTGTTCTAGGATGTGCAATAAACAATCCAATCACAGTGGTGAATTCAAAACAGTGGAAACAGGTAAGACTGGTATGGAAAAAGCCAACTAGTAAATATGTTCATTTTGTGCATATAATCTTCACCTATCTGTACAAATGAATGAATGAATGTTGTTGAATGTTGTTAGACACAGTTAGTTATTTTAGTTAATTTGTCAGTTGACAATGCAATGAATCAATTTAACCCTATTGAAAATATGTAATTACTCATGTCCATGTTTGCCTACATAAGTTGAATTGAATATCTGGTTGTTTGCATGAGTTATTGATTATGTAATTCTAGAATTGTAGTTCTTTCATTAGTTCATGTTTACACAGTGATAACTAAACTGGTATTTTTCTAACTTCTCACTCTTGCTTTCTTTTCTTATTTGGTCTTTTTTTAAATAATGTGTTTCTGTGTTTGGTTGGTTTAACTTATTACCATTGTGTTTTGCAACAATTTCATCATGAAATAATGTGAGTTGGGGAACTTGGTGAAAACTATTGTGGTGGTGAGAAGTAGCAGTTTGTGCAATACTGAGGAGTTTTGTATGTGAAACAAAACAAGTACCTAGTGCTTGGTGATTTTGGGTAGTGTTTTTTGTATCGTCGTCATAACTTTTTTCAAACAATATTTCTCGAAGGAATATATTCACTTTGTGCAGTGACGATTCCGATCATACTGATGATTTTGCTATCCATCCTTTTGATGTCTGCTTTCCATTTCCGACGTTGGTGGTTCGACGGTTTTCCTCTTTTCCGTTTCCCTTCAGGATTCCAAGTTAGCGCTTTCCTTGTGATGCAGTTGGATAGGTTCCGTAATCTATGTGTTATCCACTTCCAACGTCTTTTCCTAATTTCCTTTTCAGTTGGAAGCTTGTTTGCCCTCTCCCATAATAGTAGGCTGTTGCTGATGGTATCCGGCCAACAAACATTGAGTATCTTGCGTAGAAAATTGTTTATAAATACTTGTGGTAGTTGACCAAGTTTCAGCTCCATACAATCGCACAGTCTTGACGTTTTTATTGAAGATCCTGATTTTTATGTTGTCTCGTAGTTATTTTTAGTTACAGATGTTCTTCAATCGTAGGAATATTGCCATTGCTTTGACAATCCGAGCCTTCACATCTAAGCCAGATCCCCATTGTTTATCAATGATGCATGTAGTCAGTAGTTATCCTGATGAAGACATTTATTCTGGTTGATAAAATTCTAACTTTTCAAATCATCAATAAACATTGATTCATTTTACTGTTAACATCTTGTTTGATTAAGCAGTTATTACCTAACGATGATTTATAAATTTGATTTTTTTCGATTAATGTCAATGGACGATGTGAATTAGCTACGGGATAATTTTGATCACTTTCGTTACCTGGACAAATGTTGTTTTAGTATAGTTTAAACTCTCGTGGTTTGACAACTGCCTCATGTGTTCATAAAGTCATTCAATCGGCATTTATTAAGTTTGAATGGTTGGAGATCAACCCTAAAACCCTCTCAGTCGTAAGTTTCAGATATTCGAAATTGATAATCGACTGAAGTTTTGAGGACAGATTAAATTACATTGCTCATCATTATGGCTACATAATTTCCTCCTGTTTACATAGTAATGTGCCAATGAAAGATTAAACCTTTTCAGTGACCTAATATATTCAAGTAGATTGTGCTGAGTATACTTGCTATGTGAGATGTATTTAGTTAGTAAATCTGAAGAGGCTTGTCTTGTGTTAATCTTCAGGACTCTCCATCTGAATGTACCCGCATTCCAGTGTTGATGTTTACATTAAGAATTGAGCCCTACTAATGGGTTGTGTTGATTTCAAGTTGTAACAGAGTTCAGATGGTATATTTCAGTATTAGTACTATAATATAATCAATACAAATAAAGGTGATCTACTTTTGTTCACTAAATTATTAATTGTACAGATTATTTAAACCGAATGTAATAATTTATCACACATTAAAATAGCTTGCTTTATTATATTCTGATAGTAACTAATTTGCAATTAGCTTCCATTACCTATTAATCGTCAAGTGAAGAATATACAAAAAAGGAATCTAGGGAACCCTTCAAAGCTGTTTAGTATTATATCAGGTCCCTTCAACAATCTTACATCATGGAGTGATGTTGTGTAGCTGTAGTGCTAGACATTAGTTTTAGCCCATAATATATCTTATTCTAGTTTCCGGACATTCCATTCTATTCATTCTACTTGAGTCATGTTTTGACCTAGTTAATTATTCGCTTATTAGCCTTGACTGTTTTCATATGAGCGTATATGTGTGTACACCTCATGTCCCATGACTCATCACATGTCTGTAGTTTATTTTGTCTGCCTATAAACATTGAGTAATGCCCGGCTTGAAATGGAGTTGGCTTCCCAGCCATCTTCCATACGTGTCATTTTTGCTTTGCTATGTTTTATTCGCTTCATGTACGAAATATATGTATTCTCAAGTCAGTTCTGGTTATTCGACTTATTTAATTTCGTTATTGGATAACGCGATTTAAGTCGACGATGATACACGAGAAAAGGCGATAACAAACATCCATACAATCTAAATGGAGTCAGATCATCGGGCACAAAATAGCTTTGGATTTCACATTGAATTCAATATGTTTTGATTATTGAATTCATGTTCATTTGTTCACGATTTCAAGTCGACACTATCAGTGAATAGTAGATTGTCTCATGCTCAAAATTGTTCGACTTTACCCACTCTTTTATTTTGCAACGATGGTTTTCTTTATTATTGAAATCTTTTAGTCAATCAGTCAATGAGAATGAATAAGTTCGTGGTATAGAAAAGTATAAGACGGTTTTTGTAATTAAAGACAGGAAAACGTGAATGCATCTTGACCATAGCGACTGATTCTAACCCATATGGAATATCTTCAACCATTGGTCAATATAAACACGCGAACCCAAACTATATAGTCTGCAGCTATCAACCTGTTTCAGATTAATTGTGTAAGTGACTTCATGAATCGATGTCACGTTTATAAGTCAGTCAACATGTATGGAATGTGTGATGACCAGCCGTACTTTCTATTTCACTTAATTTTCCTGTTTCAATAGTCAAATGTATTAATTCAAGTTACTGTATTGAATGTGTTCAATTTTTTCAATGATGAATATCATTTTTTCTCTAAAGGTTGCTATGTATCCAGTTGAGACAGAAATCACTCAACTTTATACTCTTGATGGTGATAGTCAATTGAAAATTCTTGCCGGTGATAGACAAGGACAAATTCATTGTTTTACATTATTGTGATATGTACACATACATGCAGATAGAGTCTGTATGTTGTAAAACTGTTTTATTTCTTTTGGAAAAACGTCTTCCTGTTTATTTTGCTTTTTATATTTTAACATAGAGCTAACTTCTTTCTTTCACAATTATTTCCTTAATAATATGTGCAAATGAATGATCATGAGATGGGATTGTCTAATGTCATTTATGGTGATCATTTATTATTATAACCAGATTGAAAACATGTTAACCTGTTCTTTTAAAATATATTTATTTCATAAAATGCTTTGTTCATTAAGTAGTGGGTAGTGAATTTCAATCAGTCGATATGTTTCTTAACCTATTTCGTTTAAGTGATCGTTGGATTATGATGGAGTGCATTCTAATCTTTTAGAATTTCAAAAGATAGACAAATAGAACTGAAAGATCTGTATTGCACATAAACTCGATATTCTAATCAGTGAAGTGTTTTGTTTACCATTATCTTAAACATTCACAATAGACTACTAGAGAGAAAGAGAGAGTTTGTGGATATCAAAGTAATTGAATATTGTGCTTATTTTCTGGACTAAGTAATAATCAGTTCACTTTCAGAGAACATATCGACAATTGTGTAGGATGTGATAATCTTTGTCCCAAACTCATTTTCTACCTAGTTAAATAAACTAGAGCGACATACAAAGAAGGAGAGGTTACATGGTGAGGCACAGTTGTGTAGAGATGAATTGACTTTTGAAATAATTCAGCAGAACAAGACAGATGCTTATTTTGATGCAGTAGTAATTTGTGATAGGCGATCAACGTTCATGAATGTGTATAACTTTCAGATGATTTCATTTGCTATCATAAACCAAATCACAAACCAACTATGATAGATGTTCGATTGTTAGAACTGCGTAAGCTACATTAATTAAAATTAAAGACACATATGCCTTCGAAATACAGACTGAATCATATCCTAAGGATCAGTAAAATTTCCGTATGAATTTTCTTTACTTTCCCAAAAATAATGATACTGAGTAGAAAAATGTAGTTGTTGTCACATCCTCTAGTTGACTACGGCAGAATACGACTTACAACTAACGGTAATCGAACGTGTAGAACGCTACAATCGCAAATCAAAAGACGGAAGAAGCAAGGAAAGTGATTATTAGGTAAGAAACAAAAATGTACAGAAAGACATGGGCATTTATGATTATTAGTATTGGCTATAACATTATTATAATCCGGCCAACCCGCAAAAAGGCGAGCTATGCTACTGTCCAATGGCAGCGTGCCACGTTGACATTACAAAAGGCTCCATCAGGTTATTCGGTTCCTTTCGAGCCTCTAGAGCGTTTGTCGTTCTCAAAGCAATCCTAACAGTTATCACCATGCACGATAATGACACTTAATAAACCAGTATAGTACAAGTATTTCATCACATAACAAACATGGTAATTGGCTTTCTGCCAAGACCAGAAGATTTGTAAGTGCTACTGAGCCGACGGATTAATGATGCTAAAGTATGCTCATGATCTGACATCTTACACAAGACACACTTATGTTGAACGAAGTCATGAAGTGCATATGTGGACTGATAAGATGTAGACAGGTCGAACACGTTACATCAAAGGTTTATCGTAGCACAAATTATCTTAAGTTTTCTGTTGAACACAGACGAGGGAAATAGACTATAAATGAAGAACATGTATCTGAAGGAAAATCAAATGACAGACGGTGACCACTTCAACTAACCACTAAAGCCAAGGACAAAATACATGGCTCTTAGGTGATGTGTCGTATTATGTGGTGGATTAGTTCAAAATGGGAATTTTGAACAGCATACACGATATCTGCGATTCACCTATTTTCCATACAGATACATCTGTTGTTCATGCCTGATCATTTATAGACACTACTACAACCGTTTTTTTCCATTAAGATATTAGGCGAAACGACAGATCAAACCATCAACTTAATTGGATACATAAATATGTATATGATTTTACAGTGTCATCAATATTCAAACTCCTGTTATTGTTAAAGTAATAAATCAGCATTTCATCTTATAAATTGAATCCATGAATAAATGAAACTGGTTGTTATTCACATATTGCTTGATGACAGACAATGGACTCCATTTGAATTGGATTTTCTGAAAAGTCGAATACTTTGGCAGGTTAAAAGTTCCTTTGACGGTGGAAGATAGCAAATAAGCTGTGACCCGATCATTCTTAATATCATTTCTGTTCATGCAACAGAATTCAGATCACTCAACATAGTCTTCAAATTTATCCTCATTTAAAATAATATACAACCGAGATTTTACTCTATCGCGATGTCAGTACGATAAGTAGAAGTACTCGAATCAATGTACAAACTCAGAATTTCTGAATCAGTCAAAAGTAGATGAGCACAAACGAATGTATTATATTTGCAATTCGTAACCAGTGCGCAATCAAGTACGGAGGAATCATCAGTTATTACAATTACCATAGCTACACAACCGAGCAACTCCTACACTTTACCGAACCTACCTAGTAGTGAGACTTATACAAGCACGCCCTATGCTGCCCACATTCATTATCTACCAGTAAACACATTGACAACACAAATGTGGATTGTTTAAAAATTATATTATACAATATCAAATCACATTTGTACAACATTAGAATCACATTGTTGTCCAGTATTCTCTTCTCATATTCTCCTTCGTGACCTGCCATCATACCCCTATCAAATGAAAATAATTAGAAAATACAAATAAGCATCATTTTTAAATTGCATTATAACACGCATTTAGATTATACTAATCAGCATGGTGGCTGGCAAATCAGTCAACATGCATGAGACCTTAATTTGATAACTGTTATCCTAATTATTATAACAATCATCATGAAAGTTAAAATACTAGGCAGCTAATCGAAGATATGATGATCGTCATAATATTTAGTGGATGAAAAAAGAGAGCGATTGGTGTGGGAACGAAGGAATAGTCAAGGCTGAAACGATTGATTGACATTTCGCAAATGAATAATTTACTGTATGGTTCTCAGATTTTACTAAGGTAAGGCATTCTGTAATTCCGTATTCGAATGTATTTGTTTGTTAATAGAGTGACCTCAAAACAATAAACTACGTCTCCAGCTGAACCGAGACCAATATATATATATATATATTATATATATATATATATATATATATATATATATATATATATATATATATATATATGTTCACTAAGAGCATATCAGGTGTAACTCATTCTGACCGGTCATATAAAATGTTTATATTCCTCAACATAATGACTTACAATGGAAACAGTTTTCAGAATAAGTTTTTGTCACATTTTATCCACTAAATGAACATAAAGTTTTGAATACTCTACACATTCACGGATAGACAAGCTACGAGTCAGATTGTTTGCCAATATGAATAGTGGAGATTTTCAATCAACAACAGAAACCATGAGGAATCGCATAAAAATTAATTAACGAATGTATTATATTTGCAATTCGTAACCAGTGCGCAATCAAGTACGGAGGAATCATCAGTTATTACAATTACCATAGCTACACAACCGAGCAACTCCTACACTTTACCGAACCTACCTAGTAGTGAGACTTATACAAGCACGCCCTATGCTGCCCACATTCATTATCTACCAGTAAACACATTGACAACACAAATGTGGATTGTTTAAAAATTATATTATACAATATCAAATCATATCTGTACAATATTAGAATCATATCGTTGTTCAGTATTCGCTTCGAATATTCTAGTTCGTTTCCTGCCATCTTGTTAGGTAGCTAACCGCAGATATGATGATTGTCATAATACTTAGTGTAGCATTTATGACAATATTTAACACAAAATATAACACGTTCATGATGACAGTCGTCATCAAAATACTCAGGAAAATAGGTAACATGATATTCCGCACAATAGGCGGAATAATTGTTCTCATTACCGAAAGTAGAACAAAAACAATAATGGTGAGAATGGTGGCGGCCATAATTGTAATGTTTGTACCAATGATCTGAACAAAAAATCGCAGCGGGAAAAATAGACAGCCGTTCAGTGAGTGACCAACTTTCAACCGATTTTGCTGACCGTTGCATGCTAATTAATACATAGAACTGACATTTGAATTTACACGATCGATACCAATCAGGTGACTGCCAATCAATTAACTGTATATTCAAATTTGGTTTAGTCTGTATATATGATGATGAAAATAATGCGACAAACAATTGTCAGACGTGTAATTAAAATTAATTTTTATGCGATTCCTCATGGTTTCTGTTGTTGATTGAAAATCTCCACTATTCATATTGGCAAACAATCTGACTCGTAGCTTGTCTATCCGTGAATGTGTAGAGTATTCAAAACTTTATGTTCATTTAGTGGATAAAATGTGACAAAAACTTATTCTGAAAACTGTTTCCATTGTAAGTCATTATGTTGAGGAATATAAACATTTTATATGACCGGTCAGAATGAGTTACACCTGATATGCTCTTAGTGAACATATATATATATATATATATATATATATATATATATATATATATATATATATATATATATATATATATTGGTCTCGGTTCAGCTGGAGACGTAGTTTATTGTTTTGAGGTCACTCTATTAACAAACAAATACATTCGAATACGGAATTACAGAATGCCTTACCTTAGTAAAATCTGAGAACCATACAGTAAATTATTCATTTGCGAAATGTCAATCAATCGTTTCAGCCTTGACTATTCCTTCGTTCCCACACCAATCGCTCTCTTTTTTCATCCACTAAATATTATGACGATCATCATATCTTCGATTAGCTGCCTAGTATTTTAACTTTCATGATGATTGTTATAATAATTAGGATAACAGTTATCAAATTAAGGTCTCATGCATGTTGACTGATTTGCCAGCCACCATGCTGATTAGTATAATCTAAATGCGTGTTATAATGCAATTTAAAAATGATGCTTATTTGTATTTTCTAATTATTTTCATTTGATAGGGGTATGATGGCAGGTCACGAAGGAGAATATGAGAAGAGAATACTGGACAACAATGTGATTCTAATGTTGTACAAATGTGATTTGATATTGTATAATATAATTTTTAAACAATCCACATTTGTGTTGTCAATGTGTTTACTGGTAGATAATGAATGTGGGCAGCATAGGGCGTGCTTGTATAAGTCTCACTACTAGGTAGGTTCGGTAAAGTGTAGGAGTTGCTCGGTTGTGTAGCTATGGTAATTGTAATAACTGATGATTCCTCCGTACTTGATTGCGCACTGGTTACGAATTGCAAATATAATACATTCGTTTGTGCTCATCTACTTTTGACTGATTCAGAAATTCTGAGTTTGTACATTGATTCGAGTACTTCTACTTATCGTACTGACATCGCGATAGAGTAAAATCTCGGTTGTATATTATTTTAAATGAGGATAAATTTGAAGACTATGTTGAGTGATCTGAATTCTGTTGCATGAACAGAAATGATATTAAGAATGATCGGGTCACAGCTTATTTGCTATCTTCCACCGTCAAAGGAACTTTTAACCTGCCAAAGTATTCGACTTTTCAGAAAATCCAATTCAAATGGAGTCCATTGTCTGTCATCAAGCAATATGTGAATAACAACCAGTTTCATTTATTCATGGATTCAATTTATAAGATGAAATGCTGATTTATTACTTTAACAATAACAGGAGTTTGAATATTGATGACACTGTAAAATCATATACATATTTATGTATCCAATTAAGTTGATGGTTTGATCTGTCGTTTCGCCTAATATCTTAATGGAAAAAAACGGTTGTAGTAGTGTCTATAAATGATCAGGCATGAACAACAGATGTATCTGTATGGAAAATAGGTGAATCGCAGATATCGTGTATGCTGTTCAAAATTCCCATTTTGAACTAATCCACCACATAATACGACACATCACCTAAGAGCCATGTATTTTGTCCTTGGCTTTAGTGGTTAGTTGAAGTGGTCACCGTCTGTCATTTGATTTTCCTTCAGATACATGTTCTTCATTTATAGTCTATTTCCCTCGTCTGTGTTCAACAGAAAACTTAAGATAATTTGTGCTACGATAAACCTTTGATGTAACGTGTTCGACCTGTCTACATCTTATCAGTCCACATATGCACTTCATGACTTCGTTCAACATAAGTGTGTCTTGTGTAAGATGTCAGATCATGAGCATACTTTAGCATCATTAATCCGTCGGCTCAGTAGCACTTACAAATCTTCTGGTCTTGGCAGAAAGCCAATTACCATGTTTGTTATGTGATGAAATACTTGTACTATACTGGTTTATTAAGTGTCATTATCGTGCATGGTGATAACTGTTAGGATTGCTTTGAGAACGACAAACGCTCTAGAGGCTCGAAAGGAACCGAATAACCTGATGGAGCCTTTTGTAATGTCAACGTGGCACGCTGCCATTGGACAGTAGCATAGCTCGCCTTTTTGCGGGTTGGCCGGATTATAATAATGTTATAGCCAATACTAATAATCATAAATGCCCATGTCTTTCTGTACATTTTTGTTTCTTACCTAATAATCACTTTCCTTGCTTCTTCCGTCTTTTGATTTGCGATTGTAGCGTTCTACACGTTCGATTACCGTTAGTTGTAAGTCGTATTCTGCCGTAGTCAACTAGAGGATGTGACAACAACTACATTTTTCTACTCAGTATCATTATTTTTGGGAAAGTAAAGAAAATTCATACGGAAATTTTACTGATCCTTAGGATATGATTCAGTCTGTATTTCGAAGGCATATGTGTCTTTAATTTTAATTAATGTAGCTTACGCAGTTCTAACAATCGAACATCTATCATAGTTGGTTTGTGATTTGGTTTATGATAGCAAATGAAATCATCTGAAAGTTATACACATTCATGAACGTTGATCGCCTATCACAAATTACTACTGCATCAAAACAAGCATCTGTCTTGTTCTGCTGAATTATTTCAAAAGTCAATTCATCTCTACACAACTGTGCCTCACCATGTAACCTCTCCTTCTTTGTATGTCGCTCTAGTTTATTTAACTAGGTAGAAAATGAGTTTGGGACAAAGATTATCACATCCTACACAATTGTCGATATGTTCTCTGAAAGTGAACTGATTATTACTTAGTCCAGAAAATAAGCACAATATTCAATTACTTTGATATCCACAAACTCTCTCTTTCTCTCTAGTAGTCTATTGTGAATGTTTAAGATAATGGTAAACAAAACACTTCACTGATTAGAATATCGAGTTTATGTGCAATACAGATCTTTCAGTTCTATTTGTCTATCTTTTGAAATTCTAAAAGATTAGAATGCACTCCATCATAATCCAACGATCACTTAAACGAAATAGGTTAAGAAACATATCGACTGATTGAAATTCACTACCCACTACTTAATGAACAAAGCATTTTATGAAATAAATATATTTTAAAAGAACAGGTTAACATGTTTTCAATCTGGTTATAATAATAAATGATCACCATAAATGACATTAGACAATCCCATCTCATGATCATTCATTTGCACATATTATTAAGGAAATAATTGTGAAAGAAAGAAGTTAGCTCTATGTTAAAATATAAAAAGCAAAATAAACAGGAAGACGTTTTTCCAAAAGAAATAAAACAGTTTTACAACATACAGACTCTATCTGCATGTATGTGTACATATCACAATAATGTAAAACAATGAATTTGTCCTTGTCTATCACCGGCAAGAATTTTCAATTGACTATCACCATCAAGAGTATAAAGTTGAGTGATTTCTGTCTCAACTGGATACATAGCAACCTTTAGAGAAAAAATGATATTCATCATTGAAAAAATTGAACACATTCAATACAGTAACTTGAATTAATACATTTGACTATTGAAACAGGAAAATTAAGTGAAATAGAAAGTACGGCTGGTCATCACACATTCCATACATGTTGACTGACTTATAAACGTGACATCGATTCATGAAGTCACTTACACAATTAATCTGAAACAGGTTGATAGCTGCAGACTATATAGTTTGGGTTCGCGTGTTTATATTGACCAATGGTTGAAGATATTCCATATGGGTTAGAATCAGTCGCTATGGTCAAGATGCATTCACGTTTTCCTGTCTTTAATTACAAAAACCGTCTTATACTTTTCTATACCACGAACTTATTCATTCTCATTGACTGATTGACTAAAAGATTTCAATAATAAAGAAAACCATCGTTGCAAAATAAAAGAGTGGGTAAAGTCGAACAATTTTGAGCATGAGACAATCTACTATTCACTGATAGTGTCGACTTGAAATCGTGAACAAATGAACATGAATTCAATAATCAAAACATATTGAATTCAATGTGAAATCCAAAGCTATTTTGTGCCCGATGATCTGACTCCATTTAGATTGTATGGATGTTTGTTATCGCCTTTTCTCGTGTATCATCGTCGACTTAAATCGCGTTATCCAATAACGAAATTAAATAAGTCGAATAACCAGAACTGACTTGAGAATACATATATTTCGTACATGAAGCGAATAAAACATAGCAAAGCAAAAATGACACGTATGGAAGATGGCTGGGAAGCCAACTCCATTTCAAGCCGGGCATTACTCAATGTTTATAGGCAGACAAAATAAACTACAGACATGTGATGAGTCATGGGACATGAGGTGTACACACATATACGCTCATATGAAAACAGTCAAGGCTAATAAGCGAATAATTAACTAGGTCAAAACATGACTCAAGTAGAATGAATAGAATGGAATGTCCGGAAACTAGAATAAGATATATTATGGGCTAAAACTAATGTCTAGCACTACAGCTACACAACATCACTCCATGATGTAAGATTGTTGAAGGGACCTGATATAATACTAAACAGCTTTGAAGGGTTCCCTAGATTCCTTTTTTGTATATTCTTCACTTGACGATTAATAGGTAATGGAAGCTAATTGCAAATTAGTTACTATCAGAATATAATAAAGCAAGCTATTTTAATGTGTGATAAATTATTACACTCGGTTTAAATAATCTGTACAATTAATAATTTAGTGAACAAAAGTAGATCACCTTTATTTGTATTGATTATATTATAGTACTAATACTGAAATATACCATCTGAACTCTGTTACAACTTGAAATCAACACAACCCATTAGTAGGGCTCAATTCTTAATGTAAACATCAACACTGGAATGCGGGTACATTCAGATGGAGAGTCCTGAAGATTAACACAAGACAAGCCTCTTCAGATTTACTAACTAAATACATCTCACATAGCAAGTATACTCAGCACAATCTACTTGAATATATTAGGTCACTGAAAAGGTTTAATCTTTCATTGGCACATTACTATGTAAACAGGAGGAAATTATGTAGCCATAATGATGAGCAATGTAATTTAATCTGTCCTCAAAACTTCAGTCGATTATCAATTTCGAATATCTGAAACTTACGACTGAGAGGGTTTTAGGGTTGATCTCCAACCATTCAAACTTAATAAATGCCGATTGAATGACTTTATGAACACATGAGGCAGTTGTCAAACCACGAGAGTTTAAACTATACTAAAACAACATTTGTCCAGGTAACGAAAGTGATCAAAATTATCCCGTAGCTAATTCACATCGTCCATTGACATTAATCGAAAAAAATCAAATTTATAAATCATCGTTAGGTAATAACTGCTTAATCAAACAAGATGTTAACAGTAAAATGAATCAATGTTTATTGATGATTTGAAAAGTTAGAATTTTATCAACCAGAATAAATGTCTTCATCAGGATAACTACTGACTACATGCATCATTGATAAACAATGGGGATCTGGCTTAGATGTGAAGGCTCGGATTGTCAAAGCAATGGCAATATTCCTACGATTGAAGAACATCTGTAACTAAAAATAACTACGAGACAACATAAAAATCAGGATCTTCAATAAAAACGTCAAGACTGTGCGATTGTATGGAGCTGAAACTTGGTCAACTACCACAAGTATTTATAAACAATTTTCTACGCAAGATACTCAATGTTTGTTGGCCGGATACCATCAGCAACAGCCTACTATTATGGGAGAGGGCAAACAAGCTTCCAACTGAAAAGGAAATTAGGAAAAGACGTTGGAAGTGGATAACACATAGATTACGGAACCTATCCAACTGCATCACAAGGAAAGCGCTAACTTGGAATCCTGAAGGGAAACGGAAAAGAGGAAAACCGTCGAACCACCAACGTCGGAAATGGAAAGCAGACATCAAAAGGATGGATAGCAACTGAAAACTGGGAAGGATTGTCCAGGACAGAGTTGGATGAAGGATGCTGATGAGTGTCCGACGCTTTACGAGCGGCGTAACAGGAACAAGTAAGTAAGTAACACGGTTAAACCGTGCTCGTTTCGTCGCAAAATCATGAGTATGATCGGAATCGTCACTGCACAAAGTGAATATATTCCTTCGAGAAATATTGTTTGAAAAAAGTTATGACGACGATACAAAAAACACTACCCAAAATCACCAAGCACTAGGTACTTGTTTTGTTTCACATACAAAACTCCTCAGTATTGCACAAACTGCTACTTCTCACCACCACAATAGTTTTCACCAAGTTCCCCAACTCACATTATTTCATGATGAAATTGTTGCAAAACACAATGGTAATAAGTTAAACCAACCAAACACAGAAACACATTATTTAAAAAAAGACCAAATAAGAAAAGAAAGCAAGAGTGAGAAGTTAGAAAAATACCAGTTTAGTTATCACTGTGTAAACATGAACTAATGAAAGAACTACAATTCTAGAATTACATAATCAATAACTCATGCAAACAACCAGATATTCAATTCAACTTATGTAGGCAAACATGGACATGAGTAATTACATATTTTCAATAGGGTTAAATTGATTCATTGCATTGTCAACTGACAAATTAACTAAAATAACTAACTGTGTCTAACAACATTCAACAACATTCATTCATTCATTTGTACAGATAGGTGAAGATTATATGCACAAAATGAACATATTTACTAGTTGGCTTTTTCCATACCAGTCTTACCTGTTTCCACTGTTTTGAATTCACCACTGTGATTGGATTGTTTATTGCACATCCTAGAACACGTAAAATATTATCTGATGTTGCAATTATAAGATAGATCAATGTTGAACTATTGTCTTCAGTTGGTGATAGTAACTTCGCACAATATCCAGTAACTTTTATTGATGAATTATCAAGCTATTCCAAGGAGAAAAGAAAGTATTCACCATGATGTCGGTAGTTTTACACTTTGCATCGGATTGAACAAAACGTACAAATATTGACTAAAGGATTAGAAAATTATTAATAATAAGAAGAAATACACCACAGAAATCGAAAGCCAACACCAGACATATTATCAACAATGTTTACATTTGTACAACGTAAACAATATATTAGGCATAAAAACTCACTGTAAAATCTGTCACCAAATCACCATTTTCATTACAAATGAGAATTCTCCAACAATTGATAAGATGACATTCAGCCAAATACAATCTGAATGAAAAAGAAACACAAAGGACAACTACCGTTAAACATTCACATTACAAGTATCAGTGATTGTAGGTCAAAGAACTCAACACACAGGTGATAGTGAGATATACACAGCTCGAAACAAAGTGACGATTTTCTGGAGCATTAATTTAGACAAATAAAACAACATTGATCTACCACCTATAATTGGACGACAACAGATTTTCTATGTTACCTGTTGCATACTGCTCTCTGAAATAAATTACTTCAAATCACAGTATATATTAAAATGTTGGTTGATTGAAGGGAATGTGTAGAAGATCAATGTATCTATGTGATAAGTCTTTTCACTGAACCCTCGATCCCATAACCTAGCCGCTTCTAACAGCCTTACACTAAATCGACACGAAGACTTGAACACAAGAGAAAATGTGTAAAGTGCAAAGGCAAGTTTTACTCAAAGGTTACGGTATATGCAGAAAATCGTCAGTATTCATGCTAGTTGGAGTGACTCTGATAGCCAAAATGCATACTAAATACAACAATAATAAAAAGGTAATTATCCAGTTGAAAATTGCACGTGTGATCTGTCGACCATCTAGATGATTCAAAAATTGTAGGACTTAATTTGTCCTACAGATATATATACATTTTCTTACCAGTAGACATTAGATGGAGTGTTATTTCCTTATTCGAAACAGATCCACCTACTTCTCCTCGGTCTTTCTTGTGATTCATATGTATTACCATGCTCGTCTTTATGCTGTATTTGCCTTAATGTCTCCATCTCTATGGGTAAGGAGATCGTTTGAACCAATTTAGTTATATCCTGCTTCGCATTATCAATTTCTTCCAATCTCAATCTACCAAGAATTAACGGTCTTCTGTCTAATCTCATCCTCATATTGTCGACGAACCGTTTACATAGAGAGAATATTCTCAGCATTTTGAACCAGGTGTTACAGTTACTAAATCGATCTACAAAACTCACAATTGCATTTCGAGGATCCGAAATGTTCTGTTAATACATGGGCCACAGTGTTCTCTCGCTTTACTAGGTTAATCCACTTATCTTCTACCTCCCACAGGAATCCCGGACCTTATAACCACTCCCTTATTTTAACCTTATCACTTAGTGATAGTCCACGTGACGCGTGATCCGCAGGATTCAGTTTACCTTTCACGTATCTCCATTGGTTCGGCGTAGACAACTCATGTTTAGCTTCTAACCTGTGACTCACAAACTTTTCAAGCCTTTTAGTCGTATTTTTTATACAATAAAGCACAATTAACGAATCCGTCCAATAGATGACAGACGAAATGGGAATATTTAACTGTTCCTTTGCATGCTTTCCAATCTTAGTACACAGAACACAGGTTGTTAATTCCATTCTGGGCATAGTGACAAGTTTTAGAGGAACAACTCTAGACTTAGCTAGCAGAAATGAGCAATGAATCTGACCAGACACACTTTCATAACGAATATACGTAAAAGCACCATACGCAACCTCAGAAGCATCGGGAAAACAATGAATTTGAGCAGATGATAGTTCAAACCTTGGTTTCAGGCATCTTGGAATTCTAAAGTAGCTCAACTCTTTCATATGTCTACACTAAATATCCCGCTTCGCTTGACAATCCATGGGTAACTCCGCATCCCAGTCTAGTTTCTACCGACAGGTATCTCGTAAGATCAATCTGGCTAGTAGTATTATTGGGGCTACAAACCCGATTGGATCAAAGACAGATGCTATGTACGACAAATACAACTAGCCAACCTATTCTGGAACAGATGGTTACGGAGAACCTACCAACCCTTCAGGCGAGATCCAAATGGTTGGACATAAGAAGGAGTCTACAACCGGGAGACTTAGTGTTGGTAAATAATATTGGATCACCGAGAAATCTGTGGCCGAAAGCTATAGTTAGACAGGTCAATTATGGTCCAGATGGATGAGTCAGAACTGTTCGACTGAAGACAGCAACCGAAGAGATCAGCCGGAACATACGGAACCTGTGTCTACTGGAAGAGGCCGATTATTTGAGCGCGACGGTAACGAAGCCTGGACGTGGTGTCCGCTTGTAAGATGTTAGTTATGTCCATAACTAACCAATCGAATCGTTGATTATAGCTCCAATACCCGGATGTCGCCTGGGAGCTTACCCACCAACATTCAATTCTGTTGGCGTAGACTATTTCGGACCATTTTACATTAAAACGAGGCAAGTCGTTGAAAAACGATACGGCTCTTTGTTCGCGCTCCCGAATGCCCTGGTACGGCCCAGAGTGGGGAGAGTCCGCTCTCTCTCTTGAAATCCTCTCACATGGCCACGCGTATATAGCCTCTGCCAGGGAAGTCCTACTCACTGTTTTCTGGTGGCTGAGATGTTATTTACGGAATTGAGAGGACGGAAATCGAATGTCCGGCACTTTAACCGGGTTGATGGACATGGAGAGTCCACCTAGGAGAGTTGGAAAACCCTGATTCAAAACCAATGGTGTACATGGGCTCCAGTATCCTGAAGGAACAAATGGCGTATGAACCAATCATTGGTCACCGGCTACCATGGGACTGCATCTCCTTACGATGCTACACTGCGTTGTGGATCAGACCTTCAGGTCGGACGCTCCGGGTGTGGCCTCCTAAGAAAACCGCCTGCATCGGTTTGGGCACCCGGTCAGTATCACAGCCCTCACATATATCAAATGAGATTTGTGTGGCGCATATGTATTTGGTGCCTCCTTGTACCAATATGTGTTAAAATAAATAAATAAATGTTTGTTCGCTTGCCTGTCTATTATAGCAGTTCACATTGGAATTGCCCACACCTTGGACACCGACTCATTTTTATGCGCTCTCTCGAGATTCGTTGCTAGGCAGGATCACCCAAAACATGTGTTTAGCGACAACGGCTCAAACTTCAGAGGAGCCAACGCCAGTCTTAGACAGATTGTGTGTAGTTGGGATCAGAGTAAAAATAGCAAATGCTCTTCTGGAAAGAGGTTGTGAATGGCACTAACCCTCCGAGAGCTAGTCATCAAGGCGGCATATGGGAACGCATCATAAAGTCAATAAGAAGAATTCTACGATCACTAGTGTTTCAGTAGGTATTGACGGATAAGTTTGTGGAGACGTTTTTAATAGAGGTTGAAGGAATACTGAACAATCGACCACTCATAAAGCTAGTTAATGAATGTGATAATCTGGATGTAATTACGTCAAATAATTTATTGTTAGTTTACGGAGGTGTATCATTTGACGAAGCGCAGATGAGTAAAACGTGTTTATATAACAGGAGATAGAAGGAAGCGCAACAACTAGTCAACCTATTTTGGTCTGATGTGTCTGTAAACTATCCTTGTTGCATGTGACTTACCAATTGAAAGACATTATTACCCTATTTATATTAGTGTAACTCATAATTTTATTCATTTCTATGAGACGCGCAATGCTGGTCGGTATGTTTGTGCGTTTCACTTAATAACTGTAATTTCCTTAATTATTGTACTGATCTGATTGTTTTTACGTTCAGAAACAGATAAAGTTTGAGGCCAAGTTGTCTTTGTTCTGACTATAGATTTCATATAGACTCTGTGATCGTCAGTATCGCGTTTACGGTTCCAATATTATATCTGTAAGACAAATAAATTTCCACTGTAAATGTCCTTTTAAAGTTATGTGTGAAAACAAATCATACATTTTGCGCGTTATCGCTATTGAAAGATTTCATGATGTACATTGTCAATAAGAATAGACTTATTGAAGTAGACTCACAATTAAAATTACTATGACGTAATGTTTTTTTCTATCCAGCTACTTCTATTACACAATAATCACATTTAAATACGAAATATCACTCCAACAAACTACTTACAAATGACTGCCTTCTGTTTGTACGGTAGATAGAACACTCAATGTATTTATCCACATTTCTTTTTCACATGATCCCATGTATCCAGAAATACGGTGAAATGTACGACTCTAAAAAGAAGATTAAGCATTTTACATGAAAGAGGACAACGGAAACAAGTATTATAAATTATTTTGGAAATAAAACCGTGATTTACATACACATCACAACTGTGTAAGAAACATCATTCACATCCAATCAGATGAGAGGACTGTAAATTGTATTAGTCATCGCAAGAAATTTACATTTAGTTATCTATCATCAATAGCAACTATGCGATTCATACTACTCTGAATAATTTGTGTACAGGTTCAAATTGTGCTCAATCCACCTATGCATGGAGGACCGTGTACTATGATTAACCAGAACACAAATATTCTAGCACAAAGCCAGCTATACGGACTTATATTGAGCATAAACAGGACAGGTGTATCGCCTTCTCCACTCCTTATGGTGACAGAAAAAGCATTCTCGTCAAGATCAGTCCGCTCCTCTCTCTTACTGAAGTGACGGGGTGACTTAGTGTGTAATCAAAGGAGAAAATTGTGTTCTACTCACCACAGTTGCTTAGAATAGGGCACTTCATAGTATTACTGTTCAGAAGATAAACTCTCACCAATAAGGACAAACATAAAACCACATTTATCCAACAAAATATGTTGTCGTAGTAACAGATGAATCCTGATTATCCATATACGTACAAATTAATGTTGAGTGATAAAGATCTCTTCCTAGAGCGACTCATTGATATCATAGAAAAACAGTTATGCATAACCCACATATTTCTTACAAAAACAATAATTTTACTTCACATCCAGTGCCTACTTTACAATGAGTCAAGAAAAAAAGGAAGATTTCATTTTTCAAGAATTTCTCATTTGCATCAATAGGAAAATCGAGGGACGAATATCATTCAACAAAGTCTATAGAAACTCATGAAAAGTTTGAAAATGTTTTGCTAAATCGGCATTGAATAGAAGCTTCTCAGAAACATCTGGAAAAATGAAGGATCATGTACAACGCTTTGTTTGGGTAGCTAATTATACATTACCATATAATAATGTTTTCATTAGTTTGTAGAACACCAAAGTCACATCAAACTCTGTGAATGCAATTAACTTCCCATACGTAGATTAAACTTGAAGTAAACATCTTACATGTACTTCGCCTATTTTCTCTATTCGTCAAATGTAGAAGTAATCTGACGTTATAAGAAGCGCCTACCAAGTCAGTAACAGTTAATGTCAGATGTATTAGAAACCAACCATATACATAGCACTTATGCGAATAAATCAACTCAATGCTTACTTCATCAGTGTGTCTACATATAAAAGCCATGCCTGAACGTGTGGTGAAAACTCCAACAACATTCGTACCTATAGATGAGCACCATAAACCACTGGAACAAAATTTAGAAAATAAAATAACAATAGCATTGCCTAAACAATTCAGGATATTATGTGAATAGAAATAAGGACAAGCATCATTATCATGATAATGAGATCTGGTTAACAGTTGAAAAATTTAGTCCATACTGGTGTGGAGTGTACTATTCTATGCACAAGGCATCTAATGGCAAAAAATAAAGAAAATGGCGTTCATTACCACCTGCCATCTTGTAGATTACAATTTTAGGACAAAACTTCGAATGATTGTCCTCAGGGTAGGTCATAAAATTCAGTCTATGCGCACAAATATTCACACATATTACAATGGTACGAAATACTGGTAAGTCTATAGTAAACACTTGTTTAAAAACTTTATATTATAATACACAAAACCATTTTGTATTAGTGATTTCAATTTAATTCTATATTTTACTCAGAAACTCATTTCTGTTAAAAAGTTTTATTGAAGGGAACTTTAAACACTGACAAATAGCCGGCCCATTTTAAATAAAGAAATTGTTTCATCCATTCGTGACCAACTTGTTTTCCGATTTATCTGTAACAAAAATACGTGGTGTAAGTGACAATCACCTCAATGCGATTCCGCTACCAATACATCCATTCATCTTTGGTGGTTAGACTTTACAAATAATAGTGTGGTTACCTTTGGCTTTGTGACAGGAAAAACCTATCCTGTGTAGCGTACGATCAAGTGGTTTATGTGAATCTCAGTAATACATAGCATCGTCGTAACATCAGTCTAGTCATAAAAGGTTGGATACACAATACAGTGGTGCGAGTAGTTCAGATCTACTCTTGACAAAACTAGAACACCTTAGCTCAATATGCTAAACATTTCATTGAGTTAGCTGGTTGATGTCCACAACAAACTTTTGGTACTCCATAAATATGCTGTGTTTCGAGACCATTAAATAAATGATACTATCACGCAACACGAGTTTAGGTGGGTCGAACACTTATCACCCAATTTATTCAACACTCTTTCATGCTGGACGCTAACATTAACCACAGATGTTGCGACTTGGTAAGACGAAAGTGGAACATGGTTACTTTCTGATGTAACACCTTCTGGGCAACTTCAACTGATAGAAATAATTAATCTTTATTTATGCTCTAATATGTTCTAATATTTGATAAAAATCTTCATGAAAAAAAATACGCATAGAAGTTCAACATTGTTCCATCTCAACAAAATTACAACTTACTTTTCTACAATACATTGATCAAATGAAAACTTTTCATGCTCATTACTCGTCAAAACAATTACATCACCATTGACGAGGACAGCAATAACTTCACATTGTTCTAATTCATTAGGTTTAGCATAACGTGGAGATATTTTTACAATAGGATGACTTGCAGTGAAGCTAATTTATGCGTACAAAGTAACAAGAAACAAATTAACAATTCAAATGAACATACTATTGATTTATAAAGTCAGACACCTCAATAAATAAATAAGTGTAAACACAGTTTAAAAATTCTAAAAACTGTCAAGTACTTCGGTGCCTTTTGTTAACTGATCTATAAAAATGACAACATTTGGTACCTGGAATCAAATTTACGACTACGTTGAATATTGTCTAGGGACGCTGGCGGTCCAAAACTGGGGTAAAGGAGAAGAGTTAGGTGTAGGATTACCAACATTACCACGCCATAGGAAAAACCCTAGTAAGATAACGTTACACGGAGAAAACCAATTAAACTCAGTTCTGGGAGGAAATGGTCTTCACATAAAAAGCTACGATTCCGTATGATGAAGGTTAGATTACTCCGGAAGACCTAACAACGATATCCATCTACCAACAACGTTGAAAATGATTCATTCTCTAGTCTGATCACAAGACCAAATCAAGTCATTACAAAGGTGATTAAGACAGTCATAAAATTACCTCTTATGAAACAGATTATCTGTGGACAAAAATGTTTCCCGTTTCTTTATTGTCTTAGACTACATATACTACTCACATTCTGTATTTGCAGAGACGTATGCGATTGTGGTCAAATTTAAACTGAATGCTTGAAAGAGAAAACAGAATTATTCACTAAATCAGTTGAATTTACTTATTAACCTATTCATCTGTTGATAAGACATATTCAGCATACATTGTAAAATAAAATGCGAAAATCTTGGGTTACTGATTTACTTCAATTGAAATTAGGAGGTCAACATACACAACTGTTACATCTTCTGATTAAAGAGAAACGACTACTCTGTAGACAGAATAGAACTCAAGGTTTCCGGACCCTGTAACAAGCAAGCAATGTATAAATCAATGAAATGGAAATCAGTGAAGCACACTAGTCCCATATCGGTCTGTTCGAAAGACGTCATGACAATCGTAATATAAGATTCGTGATGAAAATCATCTCTTAATGAAGGTGATCACCATTCAGTGCCCAGTCGAAAAACTATTTACGGTGTAAAAAAATCCAGTACAATTAAAATCATTGCACTAAAACCGACAGGACGTTTTCTTTCCACTAATTTATACTGTGGAGAGAGGGATATTACAAGTCGAACTTAAATAGTCATTTACCAAGCTACGCATTCCCTTAGTCAATAGATGAAGATATATCAAAAATGGGTTTCAATTCAATGTAACAACAAAATGAAACATGAATCACCTAGCAATATCAGAACAAGGAATATCTAATTCAGATGACCAGAATACATCTAATTCTGCAAAATGGAGTTCTGTTTTCCCATTCATAGAGAACAATCGTTCAAAAGTATTTTGTACATCATTCATAGACATATTCGACTGATCCAGTATAATTCGCATTCTCCATAATTTTTCACCGTAAGCAATATAAATCAAATATTGCACTGTTCGTTTCGATTCATCCATCACATAAGTTTGTGTAGCAATATCAGATATTGCATATTTTGGTCGTAACGCTGAACAAAATCCATGTAATAACGGTTTCCATTTTATAGACTTTTTATTTGTCAAGTCTGCAACTGACACATGTTTAAGATCCAACGGCTCGGAATTCTTAAATGACCAAAACATTACACTCCCATCCATACAACCTGATATACAGATACTGTAGTGATCTGTAATTTTTAATTGGCCCAAACATGTGATCGGTCCAAAATGTTGATTTGGTTGATCTAAATAAAACAACAAACGACTAACAAGTACAGTAGCTTCATAAAACCTAATCATGATTAAATGTTTGTAATTTCTATGTTGTTAAGATAAGGTTTTGTGGAGATTCTAAGTTCCATAGGACGGACTGGCTTTAGTTAGCTAACCACTGAAATCAACCAAGTATTCGGTCGCTAATATCAGGTTTTCCAACTGTACAAACAGTCGGCATCTACAATCTGATTATCAAGTGAAGCGACGATGATTACACATGGTGGTGAGCGATATCACTCAAACAAAAACTACACACGTTATTCAATCCCAAATCACTAATCACAACAGTATGAAATGATTAACAAAGTACCAACTTATATAGGGAAACATTTCATATTTTGATGATAAAACTGAAAAAGATTGGCTTAAAAGTTTCTCTTTCCATCTTGTACATATACATTACTGAAATGAGATTGGAAGTTGCTCCTTATCACTGAGCTCCTTTCACTAAAGCAATTCGATCATCATCAGTACAGACTTCTTTGCTAACCATTACTGTCATTCTGAAATGAATCAAACCAATATGTACAGTTTCTTGATTTCTTTAATACACGAATGGGACACCTATTTTCTTTCAACTGTCATTACCATGTAGTCACAGTGACCCCAGCATTATCAGGTTGTATAAGTTAGGATGATTTAAGTGTTTTGGAACTGAATTATACACCTATTACAATTCACTATTTTCATTCCTTAATTTAACAAAAGTTTAGACGCCGTTTCTGGATAGAGTTCACACAATCGGAATCCATAAGGACGCTAACAATAAAAGTAACCAAATCAAGTAAATCACAGTTAATGAAACAATTCTTTTAAATCAGTAGGCCGAAACACGCTGAAGCACAATCGTGTAAAGATGAAGTGACCTGTGAAATAATTTATTTAAACAAAACTATGCCATGTTTTGATACAATAATAACTTGTTATAAGAGATTGAAGTCCATTATTAACACAATGTTTAGTCTCTTTAAAATCTGTGATTGTTTCATCTTAAAAGTAAATATTACAAGCACATAAAGCTGGTTTCATACTGAATCTGTTTTTAAATATTTTTAACAAAATAATATTTCATTTACACACAAATTTAATGACAAGTTGAGCTACGTACAAACGATATTATACATTCCTCTAGTAAAACAAACGCATCTTGCGAACTTGGATTTAAAGCAAGTCACTGTAAAATTCTCAGTCAGATTAGTGAAGTGACTATCTAAAATCTTTACAACAAACATCTTTAATATTCATTTCCAACTGAGATCATGTGTTGCATATTCTAGCCATATTAATTAAGTCAACAAAGTTGAACAGTCGGCATTAGTAGAATGGTTTTACATAAAATTGAATCCCGTGTTTAACATAATAGCAAACTAAAACGATCTGTTCATGGAGAAAAACGGAATATCCATAAAACTTTACACTCTGCAAGTAGCCTGAAGATGTAAGTTTCAAAACAACTCAGCTGATCTCTTGTGCTGTAACAAGGAGAATAAATTAAGTAAATATGGATAAACTGACAGACTAATTGCTGATGGCTATGATCAAATTCCAGTCCCAATTATCAGATTGGTTTTTATCATATTCGACAAACGATGCCCTGTGATGTGGCGTAATGTGACCGAGTAACTAAACACAATTTTGACTAGTGAGATAGAAAACCCTTGCTAGATCATTAGAAAAGGAAGGTAGGCAAGGGTATCTATCTATCTACAAATTTATCATATGTTTACTGTAAGATTCGCAAACATTATATTGTAATGAGAGTGATTAGATCTGACTGTGTTTGGACGACTGCCGAAAGCACCGTACACACCGATCAGATCAAAATACTATTCAATACAACGTAATCCTTGTCGGGTAGAGACAGTTATCTACTTAGGTACAATGGAAGTTGGTCGCGCAATTTCGTGGATTGGTTGATGTTAGAAACTATCACCATTGGATGCCGGCTCAGTGGTCCAGTTGGTTAAGCGTTCGCGCGCGAGACCGAAGGCCCTGGGTTCGAATCCCGCTCGCGGGACCGTGGATGCGCACTGCTGAGGAGTCCCACAATAGGACGAAACGGCCGTCCAGTGCTTCCAGGTTTTCAATTGTGGTGGTCTTACATCAATCGGTTCATGATCTCAATCAAAAACTTAATTCAATAAAATCGAAAACGATAATTAATGCTTACAATTCAATAGTTTCCTTTTCGAAGGTATACTCCAAAGACGAATATCACAACCGACATCACACACAGTTCGACCAGATGCACTGGCAACTATACAATCTACATCACTATTAGTGGTACATCCAGAGGTCAGTGTACATGGAACAAGACCTGAGTGTCCTTTCAATGTACCACGATATTGTAGAATGAATGGTGCAAATGTTCGATAACAAAAATCCTGAATAACTTGTGAGCAATCAGACGATTTATTGCATGATAATCTAACACCATATAATAAACGACACGTTGCATCATATGATGTATCTCGATAAACTATGTATCCTTTTTTACATGAATTCAACAAATGAAATTGTTCATCTTTCAGATAATCAGTAGCAATAAAATATGTTTTATTTCTCTCTTCAATATCAATATGTATTTTGTAACCACATTCATAAATTTTTTGATCTGAACCTGTTACATAACTATTGCTGTTTGACATGCAACATCCACTAAGTGAAGTAACTTCAGAATCCGGATCCTTCACTTCATCATCAGATTCAGTATGTTGATTATCAGGCTTGGATATCATCAATTTATCGATTGTTTCAATAGTTGGACTGCATAGTTTTCGTTCAACTAAAATTAACATAGATAATGTTGACAGTAAGAAGAAGTTGAGGAATTCGTTAAGTATGAAGTACAAAATAATAGATAGATCGTATTAATGTAACGTTCATAATTAGTCTAGAATTTGTTATGCTTGTTCTATGAGTCTTCATCATCTAACGTGCATGATAGAAGATTACAGGTGATCAGTTGTGACTTTAAATTATGAAAAAAACATGTACACAATTCTAATGACACTACTCGATTGTTCAAACCAAGAAAAGTAGAAGCGAAGCTAGAACCTGGGACTTAGTAGCTGAAAGTCTGATGACAGACAATGGTGATTAAAGAATCCACATATTACAACTATTTTCCATATAGAACAAACTGTAATACCATCAGAAAATTAATGAAAACAAATAGTAGACGAGCAGCAAATCTTAAAAACACTTACATTTCAAGGAATCATAACGATCCAAGAACGTGAAAAAGCCGGTCAAATAATATGATTCTTCCAAAGTGCTATTATTACTATTATTCTTTGACGGCATATCTGTGCAGACATTGAGACGGTGAGAGAATTGCAAAGCACCATGTTTATCATGCTTCCAGACGCTAACTTCACCATCATCCGAAGCAGCGAACAAATGATTCGACTTAGTATGTAGGGAAAAATAGTGAGACGGAATCAATATTTAGCATAAATATATGGAAGATATAACGATTAATTCATTAAGTATGCTTTCGAAGCATCATATAGAACCGCCTCGAGAGTTTTTAGCACTCAAGTGGAAGATACTGTTGAAAGGAAATAAGTCAATTCGATTGTTAACGTTTTGTAGATATTCACTTGTCAATTCTTCAAAATTAAATGGTAATTGTCAATGAGAACGGGTGGAATTAAGCTTAATAACAACGAAAATCAAGGCACTGTTTGCATTGCTCTATCTGAGATCCAAAAAGATTTTTAATTGATAGTTAATCACAGCAATGAGATTGAGGAAGTGCGTCTCGTCCTCTTGTGAACTCGTTAGCTAGATGCATCTGCATCTCAGGGTTGATGTTCACGCCGAGACTCGAACCCAGTATAGTTAGCCTCAGACTGTATCGCGTTATCCACTTACCTACCGAGTATACCTCTGGGGTGCAGGAACATACAGATGACCAGTCCATAATTAAACGAAATGTGCATCCTGAATCTCATTGCTAGACATCATCCATTTCTGAACATGACGACCGACTTGGTTAGAAAACAATCATTTCGAACTCATAAGATTTTACGAAAATTAAAATTACTCCATTAGTCAAATCAGTTGAGCCAGGGATGCTGTATAAAGTTGACGAATGAAAAAGAGAAATATTTCCAGTTCAGTTATTTTAACTGGACTTACAACACGTTCCATAAATTTTATAGGAGATTTATTTGCATCAAATGTTTGTTTCAATTGGAACTTTTTATCAATAATTGCGTAATTATGCAGTAGACTATTACTATCACCAATATACACCGATATACTGATTGTGTCCACACCCAGGAACCTACGTAATAAGTAGAAAGAAGTGATTGGAGCTGTTCCAACATCATTGATTAAATGCCATAAGGTTACAGTTCGTTCTAATGGATCGAATTTATACAACGCCAATTGCTGCAATAAAAAATACAGAGGTACATTATTTAATAAAGAAAACAGTAAAAGGCTGTAACAAAAGCCCTTACTTATTGAGAAATTTTGATGAAAACAATGAGACTTTTGGATAGTAGACTTGTATTTTGAGTGACTAGGCATGTGACATCTGAATGTAACTAGTAACTAATGATGGTATTTACAAGGAGACTCGGACGCATCAATTATTGTCCCTAAATTTATGGCGCTCACTCAATAACAAAAGTGGTGAGACTATGATTTATGGACAAACTAATCAGACTTAAGATAGCAGATTTTCGATTTTGACGTGAAATTCATTTACTTATTTGACTAAACACCATTTCGGCATTATAGCTGATGTCAGTTCATGATGAAAACATTAAATCTACTTCTTAAACCGAACGTTCAACTGTAAACCCTAATCCTAGTTCTTCACACTAATATATAACCCTCATTTAACCCTAGTAAGTAGGTGGACATCCCAACGTCAGTTTTGAGTTGTTCAAAAGTCCGTAAATTATAGTCCCATCACGAATGTAATAGACCTGTCTAAAGGATATGATGTTTATTATGAGTTGTAAAGCTTAACATTTCTATGATGTTGATGTGCACAACAGGGTTCAACCGGTCCCAATGCTACGGCGATCACAAGAATAATCAAATATTATTGGAGTTGCTAAAATCTCTTCAGGAACAATAACCGCTTGCACGTCCTTCTCTAATTCGATTTCCCGCATAACCTTTGACCGATTGTTTTTCATAGCTTCTAGCTCACTAAATTTCTATATGCTTGAAGCTCACACTTTGCTACTTTAGTAACAACAGTTGCACAAATTCGTTCTGTGTTGATTGTTCTACCACGAATACCAAGTTCCCTGCAATCTGTCTTCCTCCCGTGTTGGCCATCGGGGTTTTGATGTATTGTACGTAAACGGCGCGAGCGCATTAGAGAGGCGAAATAGTTTTGTTCCTAGATCCGCAAACATTGTAGGCCCGTACGAAACCCCAGGAACAAGATGCAACATCCTGTTAACAAGTGGGTTCCTTGAGTGCAACACTAGATATAGTTTATAACTATGAGTTGACTAGATGTTCAAATAGTGACGAGTAGTAAAATTCAGAATATCAAACATCCAGACATTCATTCAATAGAGACTCATCAAATTCTGAACTCTACAAGCTATAATAAAAATAGTAGAGAACATATTGAATTTTTTACCTAACCAATTCAATATAGTCAATTCATTACCAAACTTTGCAGTAATAGAACATACAATAAATCAGTTTTTCGACACACATTGGAAATAACACTTTTCAGATTAACGACAGAAAAATGTGCTTAATAAGAAAGATGAGTTATGTATTGATAACATATTTACGGCAATTTGGTTTATCCAATTTTGTCATAAGAAGCTAATCATTTGCGATGAAAAATAAAACACAAGTTATTCGTCTGTTACGTAACGATCAAATCACAATAGAGGAAAATATTTTGTAACTAACTAAACAAAAACTTTCTGATTTCAAACAAAATTATTGTTCTCAATAAATAACAATCTCTTCAATAAACAAGTTATAATACGAATAGAAAACTGGATGAGGTTTCATAACCAACATCCTTTGGCTTCCAGCGATTGTATACTGCAAAATGCTACGATTTTATAAGAACCATCCATATAATCAATGACTTATGGTGATATTGTAGGGTCGGTTACTATGTTAAGCCCATATAACTTTTTCTAGCTTCTGGACATGTTAGTTTATCCATTCTTCTTGAGTCACAATTTGACCGTGTTAATTATTTACTTATCAACCTTAACGGCTTTTATATGACGGTATGTGTGCGTACCCTTCTTATCCTATTCATCACATATTTGTAACCTATTTTTATCTGGCTACAAATACTGATTTAGCAATCATTGTTGCTGAGGCAGCGGCGGCAGCATTTCGATTCAGTCTCTTCTCTTCGTCCCTCTGATCGCATCTCCAGATCAGTGAGTGAACAAAATATGTGTGTTCCAAATCCATTCTCCTATTTGACTTATTTAATTTCGTCATTCACTAACACGATTTAAGTTGATAATTATTTGCGAGAATAGTCAGGATGTATATTTCGACAGCAATCATTCAGTAACGATCATTCGTCCGATCTAACTGGAGTCAGATCCCGGGTTACTAAATTGTTACCGATATTTCTTAAAAATGCAACAAATTTCATGACTATTCCAAACACGTGATGGAGAGGAGCCTAATAAATTGGTCAGTATGGAAGTAATAAGTGCTACTACAATAATTATTATTATATTGATTGATATATTACCGATGAGAATATTTGGCGAGACTATAATTTATTGATGAACCAATCTGATGAAAGATAACAGGTCTTGGATTTTGGCTCAAAATTAACTCATTCATTTGGCTAAATAGAGTTTTGGGATTATACCTGATGCCAGTTCGTGATACAAACCCTAAATCTAATTCCTAATCTTAACCGTTTGTCAGACAATAACACATATTTTAATGATTTGAACACTTCACCTAAATGGTTTCACTCAAATTTTATTTCCCAACAGAGAAGCCAGTTTCTACTCCCATATTGCTAAGTAAACATGGATTACCGGAAAATCAGTCAGGCCAAATATTTATTTTACCCTGTTCAGTAGGTTTGAAAGAAGAAATACAAACAGCCTTCGTTTGGGTTTTTTCCACCTAGGAAACCGACAAAAAGTAAATTTTATGGCAACCACTTATGATTTAATGTAAACTCAGAAACTATAAATGTCAGTGGAACACGTTCACTATTAGGAACTCATTAGTTGTAGACGTTGGAATTTTCAGAACAACCAGCTACAACTAAACTGAGTAAACGGTTTCCTAAAACATGAAACATATAAGACTCCTGAGTAGTGCTTATTCACCATGGAGGACATCAACCACTGGATAACATAGTTATTTAAATATTATCAAACACAAGTACTGTCTTAGAAATCTCAGCCTTATCAAATAAGATTTTGCTCAACCCCCACCCATTATTTACAGTGGACAACTATCTCATACCTGAAATGGTTGAATTCCATTAGTCACAGCTTCTCACTATAATTCCAGAAGTTGCATTATGAAGTCAATCAGTAGTAAGCACATGGTTATTAATTTTACTACCAGTTTGTCGACCGATAAAATGAACCCATGTCTCAGCATTCCCACCTCCAGTAACAGCTACACAGAAGTCACTTGCAACACATAATGACTGATGGTCCTGGGTTCGATCCTCTACTGTGGGATCGTGGATGAGCATTTCTGAGGAGTTCCAAACTAATACAAATGCCTATTCGGCTCTCTCTGATTTTCGATGGTTTTCTAGCTAAGTTCGGGATTTAAACTATGAAAGTTCTAAAAGAAAGTGTAGTTCGAAAAGACGAATAAGCAATGCAAACTCGTTACATTTCAAGTCATAAATATGGGTGTGTGGATGTATCACACACCGAAGACAAAACATTTGTATAGTTCACTCTAATACTAAATTGTTTCAAAATTGAAAACTAAATATCATTCATTCAGTAAGTCAGTCAGCTACAACGTAGGACCAGGCACATATATGCATAGGTCCAAGTTGCCATACTTCATTAGCACAGCAAGATGAACACCGGATTCATAAAAAGTAGTTAATTCAGAGGTGGTAATATATAAAAGAAAGATTGCAATAAGGGTATAGCACAAGAAGAAAGAATTAGTTCGTAGGAAGAAAGATATGAAGCGATTTTTAATCTCATAGTTTAAGGGAAGACAGAAAGTGTATACACCTACACCATTGTGATCGATTCTGAGCCATGTCACCCACAGTCTCCAACCATTGGTTACGATAGTCATGCGGACCCCAACCAAGTAGTCTCCATCTACCAACATGGCTCAGACTAGAAGTTAGTGACTTCAAGCACAGGTGCCACGTTTTGGTTTGACCGACCCTAACTTTCTCTCAACCATTCCGAACACCGGTTAGCATTTTAAAACTAGTGCAAACCATTTTTTCATAGTAATTCATTTTTATAACGTTTTCTTATTATTTTACATTACAATTATCACCACTAACCAGTTGTTTTGTTGGTTAAGCGTTCCATCATAACAAATGCTGATTGTATATGACCAAATCGTTCAAATACTGCTTTCAACTGATCACTATCTTTTGTTGTCCATGTTCTTGGAAGATTTGTCACATATAGATTGGTTTTATCTTTTTCATTTTCCTGAAAATAGAATAATAACGACAATAGTAATATAATGAAAAAAAAACAGTTAAAATAAAGTAGATTTTAACAAACCAGTTTAAACAATCATTAAATTAGAATGATAACTAGCAGTAGAGTCAAGGTTGTGAGTTTCGTCCTATTTAAGACTCGTTAGCTAAATGTAACTATATCTTAATTTTACTGTTCACATAGAGACTTGAACCCAATACCTTTAAATTGAAGCAACGAAACGTTGTCTACTGAGCTAATGGGTTCAGATAATCATTGATCGTTGTAATGGGCATGAATTTTAATTTAATTTGTAGTGATTTGGATTATCTCGTTGCTGATATTCACCACTAAATTTTGGTTAGTCCTAGTTGGCATATGTGCATTCCATGCGAATTGCCTCGATATGGACATTATGACACAAGTCTACATATAATGGATGCAACGTGGCTAGCAATGAAATTGAGGACACGGGTTTCATCTTGTTTAAGACTCGTTAGCTGGCTTTACTTGCATTCCAGCGTTGCTTTTCACTCGTGAACTCGAACCCAGTTCAAAATATACCAGTAGAGACTTATGCGTAGCATTTTTTAACATTAACCATGAGAAATCATTCACCCTTATAGATAAAATAGGATAGGATAGAAAATTTATCCAGATAATTTGGTTTACATCACAAATTATATCCAACTAGAAAATTAATGAAAACTAGTAAGCATGTAGGATAGCTATTTCATCCTAGTATGAAACTTTTTAACAACGTGTAAGTACGACCTCATTATGAGTCAATTTCTGAACTTTTAAGTCTCCTTAGATCAAGCAGTTGATTTACATCAATGATGTAAATTACATTTCCATAATAACACTTTACAATGATCTTAATTATGATTGATTACTGTAGAATTGAGAATAATGTGTTTTTCATTTTCTATTTTAGATGAGTTGGTATAATTAAAAATGAATATTTCTTCTATTGTAACATGAAACAATATCAATCAGTCAATAGGGGACCCAATGGAGAACCCATTGTAACTCCATTTGTTTGTCTGTAGAAATCATCATTAAATCTAAATTGTACGTTGAGAAGTAGCTCTTTTAGATAATGTTTTAGGATACAAATATCAAGGTTGTTATTTTCAATATAGTCACATAAAAAACATAAAAAACACAAGAAAAAAACAGTGGTCTAGTTGGTTAAGCGCTTGGCGCGAGACTGATAGGTCCTGGGTTCGAATCTAACGGGTTGTGGGATCGTGGATGCGCACTGCTGAGGAGTCCCATATTAGGACTAGACCGCGGTCCAGTGCTTTCAGGTTTTTCATAGTGGTCTAGCTTCAAATGACTCATGATTTCAATCTGTGAAATTTCAGAGATCTCCGCAAACCCCTTCTGATATAGTTTCTGTAAGAGGAACATTTGTCAGGAGAGAAGTGATATTCAATGTAATCATTTTTCTACCATTTACATTGATATTTCTAATTAAGTCGATAAAATCAAAGGAAATAAGAGAGTTGTATCTATTGTTATGATTTTTAACGGATTGTAACATATCAACTAACTATTTAGCAATCAAGTGACTTTGTCGACTCAATTAGAAATATCAATGTAAATGTGATAAGAAAATGATGTCATTGAATGTCAATTCTCTCTTTACAAATATTCCTCTCACAGAAATTTATTTTTTTACTTTAACACACAGATATTGGTACAAGGAGGCACCAAATATATATGCGCCACACAAATCTCATCCGATATGTGTGAGGGCTGTGATACTACCTGGGTGCCCAAACCGAAGCAGATGGTGTTCTTAGAGGTCACGCTCGGAGCCTTCGACCTGAAGGTCTAACCCACAAGGCAGTGGAGCAACGTAAGGAGATGCATTCCCATGGTAGCCGATGACCAACGATTGGTTCATACGCCATTTGTTTCTTCAGGATACTGGAGCCCATGTGCACCATTGGTTTAAAATGGGGGTTTTCCAACTCCTCTAGGTAGACTCTCCATGTCCACCAACCCGGTTAAAGCGCCGGACATTCGCTTTTCGTCCTCTCAATTTCGTAAACAACACCCTCGCCACGAGAAGGCAGTGAGTAGGACTTCCCTGGCAGAGGCTATATACGCGTGGCCATGTGAGAACATTTCGAGAGGTAGAGCCGACTCTCCCCACTCTCGGCCGTACCAGGGCATTTGGGGGCAATAAAATATTCATTCAGAATTCAACTACCTAACCTGTATATTAAGAAATAAGATATTTTTTAGAGAGAAAAATGAGTAATCTAATGAGTCAATGACAAAGAGTTGTTATGTAAACAGTATGAACGAATCAGTTTTATTCTTTTGAATTAGTACTAACAAAGGGAGATAATAGTTGTCATAGTGAGGTGTTTATTATGTGTTAAATTTCGAAAAGAATATAATGATCTAAACATGATCCTGTTTAAGTGATTATATCATTTAACAGAGCCAAGTTAACACATTTTTTTAGTAAACAAATGATCACAAAAGGATATAATATGAACACATATTATCTAAGTGTTTATTTATTTATTTATGAATTATGACCAATGTATGAGACATGGAACATAATCTTAGCCATTAGAAAGAAACCTACATTCAGAGTTTCTTATCGACTACTTTGAACCACATAACAGTTTATGAGAATTGATCATATTAGTTAAGGAACGTTGCAAAATTCAGATCGTTATATATTTTATCTATGTACATCAACTGTTATCACAATCACTGAGACACTTTAAGACTTTAAAACTTAACCCTATATGATATTATATATACAGTACTGAAAAATTCTAAACTACAACAGAAGAACTGCACATTATTCTTTAACTTATTATTATTATTGTTTGAACATATAGATATTGATACAAGGAGGCACCAAATACATATGCTCCACACAAATCCTATTTGATTTGTGCGAGGGCTGTTATACTGCCTGGGTGCCCAAATCGAAGCAAGCACCCAAACATTTTCTTTACAATTATTTCCTAGCTCATTTTAGTTCATAGTATAAACTAGCACATAAATTGAATCCAATCTTAAAACTATTTATTCATTCAAACAAAAATGTTGATTAGATATAAATTGTGTATTGAATAATCATTAAATTATCATTACCATAATTATTTATGCAACACTAAGTATGCTTGTTAAGAAATGTGATTTGCTTCGGGAGGAAAAACATACAAACAACTTAGACACTAAATTGAATTCTAATACAGTTTTGGTAATCATTGTAATTTAATCCTAGAAGATCCATTGAAAACAATCTACAAGAAACTAATCATTTTACTCTTTATTATAAATCATAAAAGCATACATGTAGGTATTCAATAAGATTCATAATTATTAGTATAGGAGTTGTGGAGATTATTAAGTTTTGATTGGGATCATGAACCGATTGATGTTAGACCACCACCTTTGGAAACCTGGAAGCACTGGACGGCCGTTTCGTCCTATTGTGGGACTCCTCAGCAGTGCACATCCACGATCTCGCTCGCGATTGGATGTTGGATTTTGATGTTAGACACTATTACCATTGGATTCCGGCTCAGTGGTCCAGCTAGTTAAGCGGTCGCACGCGAGACCGAAGTCCCTGGGTTCGGATCCCGCGAGCGCGATCGTGGATGCGCACTGCCGAGGAGTCCCACAATAGGACGAAACAGCCGTCCAGTGCTTTCAGTTTTCCAAAGGTGGTGGTCTAACATCAATCGGTTCATGATCTCAATCAAAAAGATTCATAATTATTAACTTGATTCACGTATTTGATCATATTAATACTCATAGTTCTCCTTATCATTTTGAAACAGAGAAGCAAGATATAAAGATTAGAATAGTATGATGATTCATTTTATTTCGTAGGTTCTCGTCAACTGCTTACAACCTGTGATATTAAAAATCATAATTACATAATGGGTTCGAATTGCTTACTGAATATTGTAAATATATACCTAATGTGAAAGAATATTCTACACCAATAATTGTGACAACAGTTCAAAAGGGGGTTAGAAACAATTGATTACATGATGAATAAACATTGATAGGAATACAATGAGTAGAGTTCAGTTGAAAGACTATTCATTTGAAAGATAGTTGAAAAAATAAAATAACATCAATGATGTAATAAATGCAAAAGAAAGAAAAAAGGAAAAAAATTTTAAGGTGCAGTGAAGGAACATTTGTCACCAGGGCAAGGAAAGATTAACCACCGTCTCCTTTTGAACACATAGGTCAGGTTTTTGACGCCTGATGGCAATGGCTTCATGGAACCATTTGAAGTCACAATTGGTTTATATGTCATATTCCTCTGCATAGGTTTAATCAATGTGCATTTTGGTGAATTTACACGGAAGAGTATTTGACTATTGTTCATGTCTAATTGCCTTTGTATACCAAAATCATTAAGATATAACAATGAGAGGCCTACGATGTAGCCGCTTTGGCAGGTACACGTGAATTTATAAATACAGTTGTCGGTAACATGAAAGGGTTGCTTGTCGATCTTTGATTGGGTTATTGAATATGTAATAATAAGAATTATTTAACTTATGCATAACCCGTATATTTGTTTCAGTCTATATCGATATGAATTTGGGAATAGTTGAAAAATGTGCTTAGGAGAGAAAAGATTTCGGTCTGACTATCAGTGTAGCATTTTCAAAGTGACTGAAACCATAGAAACAACGCTGCCTATAGCTTGCTTGTTATAAGAGGTTGAGTGTACAGCTTCATAAACTTTTGTGGATAAAAGTTTTCTTTTAGACATTTTTCTACGTTCCTTAATTCTTCTTCCAGTTTGTTGGTGGAGTTCAGAGACAGTTAAGATAAATTGTGTGATAATTTTAGAGGTAATGAAGGAATCATGGAATTAAACACTGATAAGATGGGTTACTTAATAATTAAAAAGAATTTCAAGAGTTCACATAATTTAAGAGAATCAAGTGAGTGGAAATGTGTGAGTGATGGAGTAGTTTAAGAATTCGGTAATAGAAGAG